TAAATTATTTCGCCTGCATCATTAAATGTAACATCTCAAAGTAGAGCCTGAATTGTCCTCCATTATCAATTTAATGTTTTTATTGATTTGATATCTTGATATCAACATTAAATATAAATGATTTGACAATAGCTAGGTATGACGTCACGAAATAGTATGTCATACAAAAATGTACCGCGTCTAGCGTTTTGACGTTTAAAAAAGTTACTGATTTGACTTGACAGTCATCTACCCTATTAAAGGCACTTGAATCTCTCATTTTATTGACAAACATTCTTATACTGGCATAAACTCGCTTTGATCATTCTAGTTGCCCCTTTTGAATTTAGTCGTCAACTACATCTACCAAGTTTGAAATGGCGCCAGTGTGTCGAATTAACGTCTTCTATGATTCATTGATGATTCTTAGCTCTATAATACATTATTGATACGTGAAACGAATTATGTCTACCCATACGAGTATGTATATTAATTTTGCTAACGGAGGAAAAAAAACAATACTTAAAGTTCACATAAGTCCTAAGAAGTGTAGAAAACTTAAATATACAGCATGTCCATGAAAATGGCACCCTGACTTTAAACACTTATAGTACCTACTTGTCTTTGTACTGTAAGTGTTTAAAGCATTTTCATGAACACTCTGTATCTATTATATTTTTAATCAGCTTGTAGCCAATGCAACTGGCATGTAATACCTATTACGTGATCGGGTTAACTATAAAACATAAACAAAGCGAGACTCGGCTAACATGGTCATGGTCTAACAATCATAGTTCTACTAACTGTTCAATCAAATGAGACAAAATATTCGAAAATTATTATTGAGTTATGGTTTATATTCGACTAAATGTCATGTGCAACCTGGCTGCATAAAGCATTAAGTACATAACAAAAAGACCTCATTATACAAACAGTTGACTGTATTATGACAAGCGCGTTCTGAACACAACAACATAATTTACAATGCAGGCATAAGTACTCTTTTTATCAAGAGTATATTTTGTACACGAACGGGTTAAGTTCAATGACCTGACAATTGATTGTGTACAGACTCACCTTGGTGACACACTTTTGTCTGAATCATACAGTTTTGGTTCGGGTCTTAACATCGGTTTTTAGATCTCTCTTAGTTTTTAGATCTTTATGCAAAATACGTTGGCATAACGCCGACGAGCAACTGATGCAATTAAATTATTACATTATTATTGTTTAAGAATGTTTATTCAAATGACCTGCATGGTCGACGACTTTTAATTAGCAAAAAATTCAATTTTCAGAGTGATATTAACACACTCTTTGGTTAAACTACAATATTTCTTGATATGGTCCCGATTCTTTTGCATGTTCGAAGACTGAAACTAAAAATGTGTAATAAATCCTTTTTAAAATACAGATTTACTTAGCAGCCCATTATTTAGTAACGTTCCTATTAAGATAATTCTAACTAGATGAATGCGTGACTAACATTTAATTATATTCGGATCTCGCAAAGCGAGTGATTAACTTTTAAAAGAAAACTACTAAATTACTCCTTCATTTTGATCTCCGTCGTAGATTTAGTTCTTGCTAGTTAGTCAAGTGCAAAATTTCGATAAATGAATGCAAATGTCTGCGGAAACCATCAACGGTAGATGCACAAAAGTGGACTATAAGGTTCATTACTCTTTCAGTGACGAACTGCAGAGCGCACCACAGACATTTATCGTAGTCTTGTTCTTACGAACCATATCAGCACAGAGCATTGCATGTCATTTGATGAAGCTACCCCACACAAAGTCATTGAGAGTCAGTGAATTCGGATGTGTTTTAATCCTTAGTATTGTATGTGACCGAACTACTCGGTATCCATTCGTAGGTACGAGTATATTCAATACATAGAACATACATTGGTCAGGTCGATGCTCTTCTTGTGAAGGTCAACTAAATAAGTAGTACAATAATGAATAATACAGTTGTAAAATAAGTACTAATTTAAGAGAGTCACAGATATCGATACATCGTAAATAAGAGGGAGTTAAGAGATAAGTTTGGTGTCTTATTGTCACCCGTGATATATTTATACAGTCTCCAAAAACGACTCTGGACCTTTGTTGTTCCCTATCGCTTGTCAAGGTTTTCAATTGTCAATTTTGATTTCAACTTTGTGATTTCTAAGATTTAGTGGCGCTTCGATTCATATACTAGAGATATCCTCAAAAACTTATTTACCTTTAACCATGTACATATTAGTATTATACGAGACTAAATCTTATTATCTAAGCGTATGTATGAGAAAAAAGAATAACAAATTTAAAAAATAATAATGAATAGATAAAAAAATCATCTCAATAAAATGTTAATTCATTCATAAAATTGAGTTTGAGTTTGTACTTCAACATTTGTTCTTAAAAAATTGATTGATCATGTAAGCTCAACTGCAATAGATTACAGTTTGAGAACAAAACAAGTTATTTTAACTTGTTTTGTTTTTAAAGTAGGTAGTAAGGAAGAACTCTGAAAGGACACATGTATTATATATATGTATGTAGTAGGTATGTAAAATCAATTTTATGATGTAAGTGAACCGAAAAACTATAAGGTTGCAAAATGAATACAGTCGACGTGTTGATGTTTTTTATATTGCTTTCGATAGAAATTAACAAGAGCATAATAATGCGGAACACCGGGATCTAACTAATACGTAAAACTTTTTTAATTCCTACACTTCTTAAACGTTGTACGAGTGCTTACCTACATTAATCACAAATCAAGTATTTATTTTAGCAATCGTTTTAATCTTATCACAGCAATTATGTGTAGCCATTATCTATTCAAATTCTTTCGAAATTAAGATTGATATAGGCAGTTACTCAACATAAGAATTAAACTGATATTAAAGTTGATAATCGGGAAATCTTGGGAAAATCTACTAATATGTTCAACTACACTTGTTTACGTTCTGATGAAAACAGAATGAACACTACCTATCTAGTTCAGTCCAATCATAATTAAGAATCAATTTATGAGGAGTAGGTACAATCATAGACTATTCCAGATTTCATCATCACCTCAATAGCCAGTAATAGTCCACGTCTGGTCATAGGCCTCTCCTTAGAAAGGAAGTTTTAGACCTACTGTACCACGCTGTCCAGACGGGTTGGTATAAGGTTTGTTTCAAGTTTTCCTTCTCTTCGCAGTGCCGTTGTCGCACGTAGTTTGCTTCCTTAGTCAGCTCTTACGACACCCACGGGATGAATTGGGGTGGTGACACTCTGTTTTCTTAACCCGTCATCACACGGAAATGCCAGATTTATACATTTATTTTGAGACGGGCCTGTTGGTTAAGTTGTAAGTGGCCCTAACTGCTTAGCCGGGTGATGCCAGGGTTTAAAAAAAATGCTGAGTTTAGTAAAATCACTTAATTGAAACCGCACCGTAGGATCAACTGATAATTACAGGGAGTGCTTTTCTATTCATATCTCAACTCTAATTTTATGTACGCTATTTAGTGAAATGGCTACCTATTGCATCACCAAACTCGCAACAACTTTGCTGCAATATTTTATCAGATGACTACTCCAATGAATTTATGAGGTCAATAACACGTACGTAACCCCTTTGGTTTGACTGAGTGAAAAAAACCTTAACAATTTTCGAGTTTAAAGTGTGATTATTGGATGGGGGACGGAGATTTGCGAAGGAGCTAGAGTTATTGATACTAGAAGTCTTGAGTGATTATTCGTTCCGTTACCGGAGCCCAAATCTCCCCCTCCCGCTCGAGTCAGCGGACTCCAAGGGCAGCAACGCCCTTCTGAGTTGCAGGTGTCCATGGGAGGCGGTAGTTGCTTACCATCAGGTGACCCGTCTAATAAAGAGATGTGATGAGTATTTCAAATAAATATAAATGATAATTTTAGCGTTGTAGCATTCGAAAATATCTTTACGTACAATTCTAATGGAACGCTTATCGTCAACGAAATCGGCGCTTCATTTTTAGACGCACGTGAGTAAAATTAACATTTGTGCTTGGAGAGGGCAAGAAGAATGTGCTAAAGGGCCATTTGTAATAGTTGTGTACCTTTATGGGCCAAGTAATTAAGATTGGGACAACTATTTATGTATATATTTATATGTATACATATATATTTACTTGGAAAGTTTACAGATAACACTCGTCCCTAATTTGGGGCATGCGACAAATAACATCAATAATATCGGTTGAAAAATAACATAACACCATACACATACATAAACATAACTAAAAAAATTTGAACAACAAAATCCACAATTTAAACTGTTTTGTTTCCTGTTTAAATGTAATTAAAAGTTGTGTATGTCATACAAGCGAAATTGAACATTTAGTGCCTTATCTAAGGGCTAGCATCCATAAAAACAAAACAATGCCCACTATTAATGTCGATATTGTTAATTGTAACATAGGTACACAGCGAAGTAAAAACTTAGGTATGTAAAATGTCAGATTCTATTATTACTATTAATTAAAACTACCTATATAAAAACGAATTCTAACCAGAAATTTCAATTCTTATAATCATCTTATTACAAACTATTTAATAAGTCTAGTTTTCCATTCCGTACATATTAAGATATTTAAAAATTTAAAAAGTGATTTGACAGAATACCGGCACAGTTTTGAAAACATTACAAAAGAGTTATCAGTATCACTAACAACAAATCGAAGAGGATAGGAACAGGTAACAAGAAAAACAAAATATTAAACTTTCTCATAAGAAAAAACATGCCGGTAAACATCTTCAATAAAGTAAAATGTACGTTATCTGATAACACGATAAATATTTTACCCGTTTACATTTTTAAATCTATGTAAAAATACAAAAAAATAAAAACAATTTTGACGTTTGACAGCTGCTATCGTTATATATATATGGATAAGTAGGTACATGCACGTGCATATCAAAAATTCGTCTTCGAAACGGTAATCATATATGAAACACTATCTTATAAGATTATCTAACCATAGATAAACATTAAACACTCACCCTGCTATTTGACAAATCCCTAAATATCGGCGATAAACACAAACCACGATTTATTTCTAATTTTGCTAAAAGTCGGCACCTAGAAACACACACCGTCGACGCCATCTTTACACTACGTATGTACAACAGAGTCGGTATGTATAGTCTATCGCACCGGTCACTGTACCGACCGCACTGGCGCCACGAAGCGAAAAAGAAGTGAGATGAGTTTTTGCTTGCTGCTTAACGAATGTGAAGTATTAGTCAGATCTTTGATCATTCGAAATATATTAGGAAATCACCTCATATCTTCATTGAAATACTTATATCTAGACGAGATAGTTATGTTATCGTTGCTTTCAACCAGTTTTATTAAGGCTTACTTTCATGTATCTAAAGTAGTAAGTAGTGTAATATATTTAAATAATGCAAAATACCTGTTTTAGTATATTTACTTTCAACTGATTAAGGCTAAAAGTATAAGCAAAAATGTTTATCAATGAGTAAATGAGTGCTTAGTAAGTGTTATATGAATTGATAATGATATTTTGTTAAGTTAAACTTTCGCGCGCAATTTTGTGAGTGTTATCAGCATGAAAATAATGATAACATTTTTCGTTTAAAAATTAGGAAAGTTAAACTAACTATAAATCACTTAAACTTTTCCTTTAATTGGTTTTGATTTTTTATTCTGACTAATCCCTCCCACACGTCTACTGTTGTATCTCTTGTACACTAAGGTCAAGAACAGTGACCTTCGAACACATCGAGTAATGAAACTCGGGAAGCCCCAAGACAAGATAAGCTGTCCTGGAATCCGCAGAAGTAAATTGGATGAGTTGGAAATATAATAAATCTACTTTCCTCCTTAGCGGAAAGTGGAAAACAAAATAAAGAATAATTGGCATACGTTCTATTCAACAGGGAAGAACCATTGACACAAAAACAAAAAAATAATAGAACATCATGCCTGTTTACTCTGTTGCCCATACTGCCTCTATTCTTAGAGTTGTAGCCCTACTACCAAATTATGTGGACCTGGATGTATCCTACCAGGTTTATCGTGCTAATCACCAGAGTGGAGACTCCCTATCTGATACTCTCATATTGAAGAATAACATGCAGATTTTGACTTCTTTTTTTGTCTTCTGACTATTAACGTTTCTGGCTTTCTACAGTTTCATAATCGAATTTAAATGGATTTGTGAAATAAAATAAATATCGCGAAATAGATGTTTCACGTTAATAAACTAGAATCTCCGTTCCACTGGGTATCCTTGATCAAGTGTTAAAGACACAACAAAACATAAGAAAACTTCTTGTTTGAAGTGTGAGTGAGCTAAGTTTTACTTTTGTAATAAAAGATTAAATCCATAATAATATATAGCTGGTTTTTATTAACTTAAAAGCTCAGAGCTTAGAGCTACATTAAAAATAGATGGCTTAAAGCCTACAAGTCTCGTGTTACCAGGTAATAAAATCAGAAAAGCAACCAATGAATAAGTTCGTTGCTACTTGACGCCTTGACGGCATCATACGTCAACATGATATGACAACTTTTGTTCACAGCGATTATTTCTGATAATTTACAGCATTTTGCAAATAAATACCTTACCAATGGCTGTACCAGATTATAAATTGAGTGCTGTATTGTGTGGGCACTCGCTCGATGTTAGATGTGTTGCAACAACCAAGGAGTTCTGTATCTTGTCTGCTTCAAGAGACAGGACGGCAAAACTTTGGCATCCTGAGGGGTTAGTGTACTTATGTCTTCAATTTTATTTTTGCAAATAAGTGTTGTATACTTATGTTAATGTCTTCTTTCCAGAGTAAAAGACTATGTGAACGTAGTTACGTATAAAGGACATAGAAATTTCGTGTCATGTATTTGCTGGTTACCTCCGTGTGAAGCTTTTTCTGACGGGCTTGTTGTGACTGGGGGTAATGATAACATAATACTAGGATATAATCTACAAGATGGCACTATTCAAGTGACTTTAGAAGGCCATGAGAACACTGTTTGCTGTGTGCAATCTGGTAGAGATTCTGGTGTTTTATTGAGGTTTGTTAACATTGCTTATTTGAATTAAAAAAAATGCAAATCTGAAAAGCATGACTAGTCCAGTTACATTTTTTTTATCGTTTGGTGGTCACTTCTAAATTACTTACTTTTAAATACATTCTTAAACTTGTTACACATGTTAATATTTTTTTATTTGTAAATTTACATTATTTGTTGGTTAAGTTTTCATAGTATAAACACACATTGAAGTTCATTATCTTCCTTGACCACCTATTTAGTTGCCGAATGTTATGAAATAACAGTTAAAATAAAATTAAAACTAAATTCATTTTTTCAAAATATTTTGACTGGTGTGCAGCAGCAGTAATATTCATTTGATACCTGTGTAAATATTATCAATTCTGTAGTATTCAGTTGTTATTTAGTCCACATTACACTTTTGCTGTTAACTTTTATAATCTGAATAATACATGATTAAACTGACTGAATTAATACAATAATACTAATAATACAATATTTTTTGTAAAATAAATAAAAATGGAAGTTGATTACTCAGTTTTTAACACAGTTTAAAAGTATCACTCCATCAACTGATATAAAGAGACATACTCCCTGTTTTCGAGGATTCCAAATTTTAGTTATGTTTACAGTTCAAGTTGGGACAACACAGCCAAAGTATGGAACCTTAATATGCAGAGATCAACCCCTAAAACTCTTAAAGGGCATCAAGCAGCTGTTTGGTCTGTCATAGAACTCTGTGATGGTACTTATGCAACTGCTTCTGCAGATAAAACTATCAAATTGTGGAAGAAAGAAGATGGATCCCTTATTAGTACACTTACTGGTAAAAAACTATTTCTGAGTATTCTACTTAATTAAAACTAACAAACAAACATTAATTGACAGTGATTCCTATTTTACTTGTTAGTGTATGAGATTTATATTTAATTATGGCACTATTTTGTTGTAGTGTCAATTTGATTCAAAATTAACAAATTTGTATTATAATCTTGATTTAAATTTAAAACTAAATTTTATCTCAAGTTGAATATAACTCAAGTATAAATCACTTTGAATGAGTTGTAAACCATTTTATTAAACCTCATTTTAATCATTATTTTAATATTTTCTGTTATTACATTAAAAAAAGAATAATTTAATATAATTGCTAATTAATTAATAGTTATTGTAATTCTTATTTAAATCATGTTAAATCAATCATTTTCCAATCTCCTATTTTATTTTTAAACTTGTAAAACCGTTATTTTATGTGCATTTATGTTAATTCCTTTAACTTAATTCTGTAATCCTCAGTGTAATAATAGTTGGCTGACCAAATAAATAAATAAACTCCTCTAAAAGTAAAAGGTACACATAATTTTGTATACTAGCTCTATTGTGCCACACTTTGCTGTCAAACATTGTGGTTGCATTGAGGAGAAGTAAGAAACTAAACTTACACGACAAAAAAAGATAAAAACTAAGTTGGAAGCGCTCTGTATATTGTGTCAAAATTTGAGCTTAATCAGTGTGGAACTTATTGAGTTTTTGAAGCTTACAAAAACCAACTTAATTCATTTTTATATTCAGTTAGATTTTTAAATATTTAATTATTTATTCCAAAAATAAAAACTAATATCGTTAATTTCAGGGCACACAGATTGTGTTAGGGGTATAGTAGTGGCCGGTCTAGAAACATTCCTCAGCTGCTCCAATGATGCTTCTATTAAGCTATGGACTAACAAAGGACAATGTCTAAATACGTTTTATGGACATTCAAATTATATTTATAGGTAAGTTAGTTTGATCGCTGCTTTATATAACGATTACAAAATCTTAACTTAGAGTGTAATGAATTAAGGTTCTTATAATGAGTTAAGAACTAATGAGATGGATGTTATTGGAAAGACAAAATGGAGCAAAACCAAAATAGCATAATGTTAAATAAATATTTATATTTTGCTATGTGAACTCATTGTGAGCTCTCGTTCTCAGAGACAATTAATTGTATCCACAATAGCCAGAAAAACATGTATCTATAACATGCTACTTGTTGCTTAGGGCAACTGAATGGTAAATTGGATAATAACTACTAAATAATTTACTACGAAAATACCTTTTATGACAGTTGTGAGATCAAGCTGTGAGATTCAAATTATATGTATATATATATATATATATATTTATTAGAATTGCTTGTTTTAGAAATTGTAATAAACTTAACAAAGTTAATACATATAGTGTATTTAACTGTTTCAGTATTAGTTTAAACCCAGGTGTAGAACAAGGTTTTGCCACATGCGGCGAGGATGGCAGTGTACGTCTGTGGGCGGGCGGTGATTGCGTACGTGACATTCGACTTCCTGTACAGTCGGTGTGGAGCGTCACATGTTTGGAGAATGGAGATATTGTCACTGGTATGTTAAGTAATTTCTATAAATTGCAATTTTGTTTGGGCTTTCTATACTGTAAGTACTTGAATCAATGGCTGTTACATTTATAATTAAGATTAGAGGTAAATCTAATTTTATTTCTTTAATTAAACTTTGGCTTTTCGATTCTTTTATGGCACCTTTTTACGTTTCGAAGTTGATGTGTTCATTAAAATAATTCGTCACAAATAACTTGCTTTCATGTCAAAGAAAATACAATGATTTTTAAATGGCATTGAATTTCGGTAACAACTTTTTTTTGGGTCAAGAATCTGAACTAGTATAGATTTATAGACTTAATACCATGTATCACAAAGAGACATAGACATCAGCCAAAGTTTTCGAACATTGCGAAACACTTTCTTGTCTTCTCATGGCTTATTGAACTTTCTTTCACTGTGATGGTAGACTGTATAAGGCCCAATACTAGTTGCAAAACAGAACAACTGTTTTGCAACTAGTATTAGTACTACTGGTAACTGGTAATTGTACAAACAGGTTCGAGCGATGGATTAGTGCGCGTATTCACAAAGGACCCTGCGAGATTTGCAGACGAGCCAACATTGAAAGCATTTGAAGAAGAAGTACAGAAAATGCAAGCTGCTCAACAGCAAGAAATTGGAGGATTCAAATTATCAGAGTTTGTATGATATGAATATGGTCCGTCCACTAAATAGAAATGGCTGTATCATTGTAGTGTTGCATAGACATTTCCAACATCACCCAAAGCCAATATTTTCTTTTAGACCTGTCCCCTTTAATTGCCCAGGAAAAATTATTTGTCCTGGGAATACATGCTTAAAAATTCTGCAATGCTTTTGATGCGCAGCCGAATCTCTAAACAAATTATAGTGCTCTATCTAAAAACTTACGGCCTATGGAAAAACAAACATTGTATTTTATGCACATAATGATTTGAGTCAATTAAATGTACAGAGTTTTCCAGTATCTTGGTTTTCTGTTTCTGACTGTAAGAATAGAAACCTATTCCATGTGTTTTTTATATCTTGCCAATCCTGTCTGTGTTGCAGTATTTTTTTTTTTTACTACAGTAACATCATTTTGTAACTGGTATAAATAAAATAACCATTGATTTGAAATATAATATTTAATTAAAAAAACTATTAAGTGCAGCCTTGGGTGGCAACTATTTTATCCCTTTTATAATAAGTTTTTTAAGGTTTGTTAACCGGCTATCGAGTAGACGAGTCATCTGATGATAAGTGACTATCACCACCCATGTACTGCAACTCAAGAGTTACAAGATTTTTAAGCCCCCCCCCCCCTCGCCCACAAGAATCACAAAGGAGTAGGAGTTTTATAGATGTGTGTAATTTTTTATATATTTTACAGATTACCTGGTCCCGAAGTACTGCTTGAGCCAGGCAAAACCGATGGTCAGACAAAACTAGTTCGTCGTGGAACGAACGTGAAATGTTATTCTTGGAGTGCAGCAGAGAGCACATGGAATGAGATTGGTGACGTTATGGGAGCCAACCCTCCTGGCGAAGGAAAGACTATGTATCAAGGGAAGGTATGCAACATTAATTTGTTTTTGTGAGTTAACTGTGGCAATCAAGACTAAATTTCGAATTCCAAAATCACCTAGTCATCTATTATTAGTTCTTTATTGTACATGAGAATTAATTTTTTTACAGGAATACGACTTCGTGTTCAGCGTAGATATAAAAGATGGTGCACCACCCATAAAGTTACCGTTCAATAAAACTGAAGACCCTTGGGTGGCGGCTCAAGCTTTCATACATAAGTAAGTTGTAGTACATACATTTTATATAATCATTTAGACCAAGAAAATCTTCTCATCAACATAAAATCTTATTAAAATAAATAAATACGGTTATGTCGTTATGTAAACGTTCCATTTGGTCCTCTTGTATGAATTCGTTATTTATAATTCCTTTTTTTTTTAAATGCAAGGAAATTGCGTTTTATTCTATTCTATTAAGTCGTTGAATCCTAAAAACTATTTCAACAACAAAATTGGTAATAATAAAATTAAAGGGGAGGGGATAGGGATAGTAACCAATATTGAACAGTCTCTTAGCGCTAGCGCTTTGTTTTGTGTTGCTAGTGTAAAAAAATAGTGCCATTTTGGTAGAAAAACAGAAATGGTCCAATTTAAGCGCTGGTTCAATATTGGTTCACATCAACAGCCTTTAATAGTCCACTGCTGGACATAGGCCTCTCCTTAGAAAGAAGGTTTTGGCCTAGTATACCACGCTGGCCAGGCGGGTTGGTATAGGGTTTGTGTCAAGTTTTCCGTCTTTTTGCAGTGCTGGTGTCCTGCGTTGTTTTGCGCCCTTAGTCGGTTCTTACGACACCCACGGGATGAATTGGGGTAGTGACATTCCGTATTCTTAATCCGTCACTACACGGACAATATTGGTTACTCACCCCTATATTTTATATTGACTGAAAACATAAAAGCCATTTGCAGAAAAATAGCAGAAATCAAGATGATGATGATGTATTTGATTACTTCCTAGAAATGCATTCCTTCTATCAATAGGAACAATTTTAGAGACTAATTTAAACAGCCCAAACATTATTCACACATATTATTATCAGTAAATAACATCAAGCACAAATGTGACACCCTTTGGTTACTCCATGTTGCATAACATAGTGTAAGTCACGGTTTTACTTAGTCACAACTTGTTTTAAACTTTCAGAAATGATCTTCCGCAAGTATATTTAGAGCAAGTAGCAAACTTTATCATCACTAATGCTAAATTGGATTCACAACCAGCGTCTAGCAATGGGTATGTATAAAAATATACAAATCTATATTTCTGTAATGAATTCTGTAAGAATTGGTAGAAGGAGCGTGCCTGTAGGTGGGAACTTGGAGGTAGTTAAAAAAAGGTGGTTAGGTAATTCAATGGGTATAGTAAGACATTATTCAGAATGCTAACTTTAGACACCATTGTAAAGAACTGGCTCGGCCACTCTGATCCTTTTAAGAAGAAAAGTCTAACACTGCACAGGGTGCTATATCTTACTCAACTGTACCGAAAATTATGCGACTAGGCGATGTTAGCCTTTGCTATGCATTTGCAATTATAGTGTCAGTGTATTTTGACAAGTATTTTAACTAACAAATATGAAGGAATGTTGTAATTTGAACATGAATATGTGTATTTGTTTATGGGATTAGATAGATTAATTTGATTAATTTTATTTGTTTGGAAAGTAACTTTGCCGAGACTGTTTTTTGCAATACTTGAACAACCTTTTCAGTCGTTTAAGATCATTAACTCTTATTATATTTGAGTTGACTGTATTTTACATATTTAATATTTCCTCTTAAAATACTTTGTGTTCTGTCATTGTCAGGTTCGCGGACCCGTTCACGGGCGAGTGTCGGTACGTGCCCGGCTCGGGCTCCGTTCCCGGCCTGCCGCCGCCCTCCGCAGCGGACCCCTTCACCGGTGGGGGCGCCTACATGACGTCCGCTGCGGCTGTTCCTGACGGAAACAAGTTCATACCACATGATTCTTATATCCGGTAATAGATTGTGTTGATTTACATGTCTGTTTTCCAGCGTGAAACGTACGACTAAAGCTGCTTGCATGATTCTATTCTATATGATGCATTAATTTATGAAAAAAAGGTACATTGTTTTTTGTGAATCAGAACATACGATAAAATAAATATATACAAATTGCTACAAAACTCAATCACTAATTTTTCTTTTATATATGTATATTATTCTCAGAAGATTTGGAAAATATGAGGTCTTGGTTTTAAAATTCTTTGAAAGTAAATTCAATTTTTTAAGGTTCTAAGTATTAACGTATTTCTATTAAGCAACCATATTAAAAAATCATATATTGTATAGTATATATTATGTAGTGGTACAGTATAGTCCATCTAAAGGTTGCCTGTAAGATAGATCGTAGATCTATCGTGTGTGACAAGGCCGTCCATTGTACCAGTGTTTTTCTCGTTTGTATTCTATATTGTATGTTTCCTAACTATGTGTTCAATTCAATAAGGTACCATGTATCTATGGTACAAGAATACACTAGTACTAAGATAGTAAGTAACGTATTGTATTTAAAATTGGTTTTAGTTTCGATCAAGCTAATCTAAGAGCAATCCACGACAAACTAAAGGAGTTCAACAGCAAAGCTGGTGATGGGCTGCGCGCCATGACGGAAGAAGAATTAGAAGCTGTTGTTAAACTATGTGAACTGGTAAGTGTTTTTTTATAGTACTGTTATTTTAGCTGTGAAAAACGGAGTGATACCACGGCTTCACAGAAAACCAGTGTAAAGTAATTCTATCATTGCTTTCCTCCAGGCACAATCCGATAATAGACAGACCCTTGTGTTTATATTGTACACTATCTTTTGCCTGAGGCTCCGCCCTCGTAATTGTCGGTTACCGCGGTAAAAATTAGCATATATCTTTTATCAAGAATCTAAGTATCTTCATACCAAATTTCATCTCAATCGGTTCAGCGATTATTGATTCCCCATACAAACTTCCACTTCGCTTTTCACCTCCTTGAAGGATGTCTTTTGGGATAAAAACTACCATATGTCCTTTCCCGGGACTTGGACCGGTTCAGCGGTTTAAGCGTGAAGGGGTAACAGACAGACAGACACACTATCACATTTATAATATTAGTATGGATTGTCTCAATTTTCATACGATCATTTATTTTCTGGATGAAAGGTTGAAAATAAAGTGCATTGGATAGGTTGTTGAGTAGTTACGTGCAAAATTGTAACAAACAAATAATAATAATATAAAAATATTGTACCACATTCACACAACGCCATCTGGTCCCAAACTAAGCAGAGCTTGTACTATGGGTAGGAGACAACTGATAAATATTTATACATACATATTATAAATAATGCCACATTTGCATTTTGAAATAAATATTATAAGGGTCATGTTGTAATACCATTGTACACTTATATGTACAATAAAGGACAAGAAAATGATGGGCAAAGCGTTTTTACTCGTTTTTTTAGAAAAATGCTCTCTCTATTTTTACTGAATATTTCGTTTGTATTCCTATATTATTTATATTTACACATAGTTAGGTTACCTACTATTGTTATAACTCCTTATATACTAATTGTATCTCTTATTTTCAGAATAATACCTTCAATAATGAAACTATAAGTTTCTTGAAGAAAATGTTACAATGGCCAAAAGGTTTGTTGTGTTTATTAAATATGTTACATTTTATGTAATTTTTATGCCATATTTAAAAAGTATTGTTATTATATTGATGGTGATATATGGTAAAAATCAATACAATTAAGTAATAGTTAAATGTTTTTTATTATATACAGTAAAATGAATGATGAGTGTGAGTTTGTGTGCGCGCGTGCATACGGGTGTGTTTGTGTTCGTGCGTGTGACTTTTTCTGAATCTAGTTGGACATAACTGTAAAAAGTAAATAATTGCCCTCTTTTCAGAAATCCTGTTTCCTGTATTAGACGTGACTAGGCTAGCTGTTAGAAATAAGGAGATTAATGGTTTGATGTTCGATACGGCGTACGGACCCACGTTTATCAAGTTTCTGTTGTCCTGTCTTACGCCAGGTATGTTTACGTTATAGTTAACCTAAAAAAACAAAGGCATTAAAAATGTACACTTTTGAATAACCTTTTTGCCCAGGTTATGATTAAATAATGACTATTACCACAAAAATGTTAAAATTTACCATGTACTGCTGTAGATGGTAAATTCTAGCAAAATAAGTTCAGCAATTCTATGCCAAATTTTGGTCATAAGTCTACACAAAGTACTAGTAGTAACAATTAATATCAAATCAATATTTTACCTCTTTAATGTTGTATGAAAAATCAAATAAAGCTGAAGCTATAACCCTTTCAAAAATCAAATGTAAATCACTTTCAGATAATCTTCCCGCGAATCAGATGCTGGCGATGCGAGTGTTGGTGAACGCCTTTGCAGACCTCCCCGGGGAGATGTTGGTACTGGCGGCCAGGGAGAGTGTCATGCACTCTTTGATATGTCTCACACAACTCAATAACAATGCACAGGTGAATTAAATAATTATGCTAAAAGAATATTTTTAACTGTATGTGCAAACGAAAAAAAATAAAATAGGATGTACATAGAAACTGTGTATTGGAAAAATATAATAGGACATACTTTTTTTATTTGAATTTGGACAGTAAATAGTCTACGAAATAAAATTGAAAAAAAATATCTCTGGTTGATCATTCGATGCGGTTTTCCTGTTATTCGGGTGGATTCCTCTGTAATCTTAAATGTAATAAAAAACTAAACTTACTAAAGAAAGGAGTATGTAGATATTAACTATAATTACAAGGATATCGAAAACCTTAAAAACAATTTATTTAAAATACACACATTTGAAATAATGAATAAATTACTCCATCAACTGTCAAGATTTCTTGAACTTTTCTACTTTAGGTACTATTGAGATGCCACACAAAATACTTTTAGGTACTACCACCACAGCGGTCCTACTGTTATATTGTAAGAAAATATAGGGACAGCAGATAAATCGAAAATTAAGGAATCTAAAAATAATTGTATGTTGTGTGTTGTGCAAGGTGGCGGCCACGTCTCTGGCGCTGAACCTGTGCGTGGCGCTGGCGCAGCAGCCCGACAGCGCGGAGCTGGCCGACTGCCTGCTGCAGCTCTTCCCCAAGCTCACCGACACAGAGGCTTACTTCAGGTACAAGCTCTCTCCCCTATTATATACTTACATTACTAACACTACGCTAAATACTCTATACCACTATTATTTGTCTAAGTTGCATCTTGTTTTTTAACCGAACTAAACAAGGATTTATTTTCTTATGTTTATGTTTCTTGGCTTAGAACTCCGTCATTTATGAACCATTTGAAAATATATTTTTTATTTGAAAGGATATTCTTCCGGTTTGGTCCTATTTTAATTTGAAGAAAAATTCCTCTACTAAGAGCGGAAAATTAAGAAATAAAGAAGACGAAAACGATATAGGCGCATTAAAGTGTGATATTTTAAAGCTATTTATTTAATATGGAGTAGGCGTGTGTGTGTGGCTTTGTTCCTTATATAAAATTATAATGTAGATAAAACAGATATTTGAATTATGTGTCAAAAGAAGAATATTTCTGTTTTTTAAGTATATTGGTTTACAATTATATTTATATTTGTTAAATTCAAAACTATCTTTCTGTTTCCGTTTTTAGATGTGTCCCTAAATCTCTCAGTTTAATTATAATATTTTGCTCCTAAATAATTTTGTATTAGGAATATATTACAAGGTGATGGCATTTTCATATAAAATATTTATTTTTCTTTCAGAGGTTTGGTCGCCCTCGGGACTCTCCTAGCTGAATCTCCTAACAAGTTACAAATACAAAGTAAAATAGTATCAAACACTCTTATCCACAATAGACTTAAAAAAGATAGCATTTTGTCACCAAAAGACGATGCAAACTTAGCCAAAATTGTGTCCTGTTGCAAGCAAATTATCAGGCTTTTATGAGCAAACTCAAATCTAAAAGTACCCGATAAGGCTGTTATTTATATTAGAATTTATAATATCATTTTCTATTTTCTTATTAAGATTGCTTTGGATTTGAATCGTTCCTATTGGCTGAAATACAGTTGCAGCTCTCCAACCTATCTAAAGAATGGAATGAGACAGAGATAATTTATAAACTAAATGTTATTCCTGACATAAATATGTAATATGAAAAACGAGCAATAAGGGCTTTTGTTTACAGGCCAAAATTTAAAACCGTTAGTGTCTTTATGAGCAATAATTTATAAATACTGTCTTAGTATTAGAGATGTCTCCGAGCGCTCGGTCCTTCGTTTTCTGTATTCCAATAAAGCGCTTAGTAAATTTAATGTACTTTTATTAATACATCCTGAGTCAGGATTCCTGACATTTGCTTGCTACATGTCATCATAGACGAATAAGATTTTATCAAGGACACAATTAAATTTTTCATAAAAATATTTGTCTTTTCTTTTTATAGCTATTAGATTTTCTCATTTGAGTATTTACAACCTTTTATTACCTAGGATACTACAAGAAGTTGTATTCCTAGTTCTAAGAAGACTTACTTCACAAGATAATAGCAATTCCGAGTGCTCCCGTTCAATAAAGTATAATTGAGATCAGAGAGAAATTCACGATGAATTCCCTCAATTGTGTTTTAGAGAAAAAGCGGAATACAAAGCGCGATGCTTTTGCCTTTATTTTATTAAGAAATGCCTGAACCGACGAACGGAAGAGGTGGCATGTGCATGAGCAAAGGCAAAGATAAAGGCAACTCTATTTATTTATTTGATTTACCAACTTTGACAAGACAGAACATAAACCAGTAATCCAAATAATTACAGGTAAATACAGCATACAATCTTTAAGTAACGAAGTGAGGCAAACAAATTAATCGTGATTTAAGCTTTATGTTTGTATGCAATCTATACAAATAAAAAATTGAAGTGTCTCTTTGTAATGTCAAAATAGTGGGTTTTTTCATGCTTACAGTCATTTGCACGAGACCTATGCCCAAAAACCAGTTAACCCATATATGCCCAGAACTATGTTTTCATTTGGTTCCTTATTTGCCTCCTGATTCGAAAACGAATCAAAAATTAAGCTTTCATAAAAGTTCATCATCTTACGCGTTTCGATCGGAAAGTGCATCTTACCGCCGTCTATATCAAGGTTAAGGTATCTTCTTCTAATGGTAATTGAATGTTTCAACTAAACAAATTTTATTGTCCCGTAATGAATCAGTGCACGTTGTGGCCTGTTTTCGACGTGCAGAAATCAGTGCGACTTTCACAAAAAAGTAAGTAATTATCCAAATTAACTCTAGTTTAGAGGTTTTGCGTAATTAAGGATAAAGTTAGATAATTTTAGATTATGTTTGTGTAATTATAAAAACAAAATTATTGTATTCAAACACCTAAAAGGTGTTTATCAAATCAGTGTTTCGTAAACGATACATTGGGAAAATATACGTATGTAATATACTAAATAAGATTTTTTTATTTCAGATGTAGCAAGCCGTTATCGACCAATGAAATAGTTGATTTTGTCCATAATTTAGATTCGAACGATGAAGCGACAGGTATAGACATTTATATTGATCCCCCCGGAGATGGATTAGTTTCGGACTCCGATTCGGGCGACGAAACAAATGCAAGTTTTGAAAATTTATCACGTAGACAACTTCTGGCTCCAGCTGAGCTGGTGCTTCATGGGAATAAAGACAATGATGACAACGAGTCAGAAGATAATCTTCCGCTTTTCGCCTTAGCTAGTCAAAACACAACATCGGACGTGCCTCTATCGAGTCGACCAGGACAGCCACAAGCCCGTAAGTGGGTAAAACGAGACTTATCCAAAATGGATAACGAGTGGATTGCACCGCCTCCAAGATCAGTGGTGACGTATGAGATGCGTTGGATCCAGTCGCTTTCTTTGAATTATTTTTTAGTCACGAAATAATAATTCATATTGTTCGTCATACAGTTAGTTATGCTGTAGAAAAAGGAAAGTTTACCTTGTTTGATGATGAAATATATTGCTTCGTCGGAATTCTTATATTGACAGGTTAATGTCCATTGCCGCGACGACGTATGTATTGGGAGAGTAATGAGGATACCCACAATTTGTTGATAGTTAAATCTATGCGACGGAACCGGTTTGGTGGCGTGGATCGTTTAGATGGTAATGTAGGCACTTACAGGATTGCAATTAGAGGTAAAAAATGGAACATCAACATAATTTTCTGGCTTATTGATGTAAACAACGCAACACTTGTTGCAATGTAGATACACTGGAATTTCAGCGTAGTGTAGCTCGAACCTTGCTCCAAAAGTACGGCATTGATAAGCGGCGGCCGGATCCTTCTAAAATTTTTTCTACTACTTTGCCTCCCTCAGTGCGAAAGTATGCTAAGCACATGATCGGTAGCGCACCGAGCCGACTGCGTTGTGCTTATTGCAAAAACTTGACGGTTACTTCATGTCAAAAGTGTCAGGTAAACTTACATGCTCAATGTTTTATATTCCTAAATTGTGTTCCTAAATGCATTCCTCAAATGTGTACCTAAATTTTGTTTAATTTGGTTTGTTTGTATGTTTAGATTTATGAATATGTCATTTAAAAATAAATAAATACATAAACATGTTTTTGTTACTTTACTCATAATAAATGTATGGGAAGTGCCCGATGTTTCGTTTTCGAACAATTAAAAAAAAGGTACATAACCAATTCCGACCTTCATGAAACTAGTTATAACGTTATTAGTGATTGATTACCACAAACATATCCAAATGGGCATATATGGGTGCTGATCGTTTTCGATTCAGGGGGCAAATATGGGTTAAAATATTTTTTGTTCATCTGTCTGTTTGTTCCACGTAATCTTCCAAAACGGCTGGATCGATTTGGATAATATTGTACCACTAAGTCCGGGAATCGATACCGAGGCCTCTTGAACTGCAGTCGCCGTATTGTACTACACCACTAAAGAAGCGCTTTTCTAATAAAGTTTATCTAAAAAAATATATATATATGTGCACGGCGTGGTGTGTTGGACATCAATAAATAATATAAAAAGCCGGGTTACACTACGGGTGAAAGTAGCGCCGAAGGCGACGCTGACATCTAAATTTCTTATTAAAGATTAACAAAAATAGAGATCTGCAGCCTGTATGCTGAACCATGAAGTTTAGCCACAGCCTTGTACAAAAAGCCTTCTCCTTGGTAAAAGTTTAATTTGTAATAAAACGCTTCATATATGTAATGTACGTGTATTTAAATACATATAGCGACATCACTGTTACCCGTCATCGAGGAAGAATGAATTCACATCAGTCACACAGCAATAAAAATTATATATAATAAAAATCTCTTTACTACTCATTACCTAGCTTATTTTTCATTCATTCCTTTTTATTAAAACATTATTTCAGCCTACTTGCACCATTTTATTTTTTCTGGTTTTACACCCATAAATAAGAATGTCAATGAACAGCAATGAAAAGAAGCATTTTTATGCATTTAAGGTTAACAGTAGGTGACATATTCTATCAATTTATTATTATAGTTTCTAACGCTTACGTACTTATACATAAGCGTTAGAAACTATAATAATTGAAGAAAATGGCTGAAGCCGAATTTAAATTAAGTGCAAGTAGCTAATATCAAATTATTGATTCTATCGTTTAGAAGCTAATTTTATAACAGGCACTAAAAAGGCATACACTATATAAGCAACGTATGGAATTTAGACAAATTAAAAATCCAACAAACATCATGCATCGATATAAAAATATGTTATGATTTAAAAATATATAATATGTTACAAGCAACCAAAAATATTTTAAAATTAATAACTTTTAATTTCTTGAATAAATTTCACGTATACATATTATGACTTTATCCAACAGGAGTTTGTATGTACAGTGTAGCTCAGATCTTACTTGTTTCAACTTTTCTTCTTAGAAAAGTATGTATTAAGTATATAAAGGATGAAAGTCAATCATAATTTGATTCAAAAGTTTGATTAAATTGATTATAGAGTTTTAAGGGACTTATAGATAGGATTTTTGGGGACTTAGATAGGATTGTTATGGACCTAGATAGGATTGTTGGGAACTTAGATAGGATTGCAGGGACTTGGATAGGATTGTTAGAGACTTAGATAGGATTGTTAGGGACTTAGATAGGATTGTTTTATAAGAAAGTTTATAACAAACTCATAATTACCAATGTCTGTTTCAATGTAAATTATATCTGTAAAGTCGACTCATGCTAAGGCCAATTAGTCGGTTTTTTTTTGTTCTAGATTTTGTGCACTATCCTCTCAGTTACCAGGCAAGATAATATATTGTAATTATTATATAAAACAGCAGCTCCACATTTATTTTTAATTACAATACATAATATTATTGTGACACCCTATCTTGTCATTTTTTCCTTAATAGCTTTAATAGCGAAGTTGTCTATCTGATTTGATGATATTTGTAAATTCATTACAACGTTAAAAAATAGTGTTTTGTTTTGACTACAAAATTAATTATAATTATTACAAAAGTGACAAATGGAAATCATAACATTCCGATATCACACCACTGATGGCGAAGAATCTACTTGGACTTTATTTGCTGTTAAATGTTTTCTAACAATATATATTAATTTATAAAGTTGCAAAAATATAAACTATTTTGTCAACCAATAACATTGAACTTAAATATCTATTTTATAAATGAAATTTATTGTATGTTACATGCAATAATGCAGCTTTGGTCTCACAACTCTCACAGGTTGGTGGTGCAGTGCTGTCTCATAACTCTCACAAGCAACAATACGAATGAAATTATGAATCGTGTATATAAAGCGCATGATTTCATTAAGCCCATTATGTTCGAGCTGATAACCCTCAAAGAACAACGCAAATATTACTTCTTTTTCTTCAACTCTTCGAACCTGCGGTTAAGATCATCAAAGTCGATTTCATCGGATGCGCCAGGCGCTGATGGCGTGTCATTAGATGTGTTTGAGTTGTGGCTGTGAGGCACTGACGGTAGGAGTAAGTCCGAAGGTACTGTCGGTAACTCCGGGAGCTCCGGGAAGTGGTTCGTTGGTGGTGGTGGAACTCGGGAGCGAGGCTGCGGCGTCGGTAAGTGCGGCTGTAAAAATGAAGGCAGAGAAACGTATGAAACACCGTGTGTTCGTTCTTAGAACCAGAGGGATTGGAGTACGCAACTATATTACCTATTTTACACTAAGAAGATAACTTGGCATACTATTGGTTAGTGCAAAATATTAGTTGGAATAAGTTGAGTAAATCAAGTACATCTACTGATTGGATTTTTTCGTTTCTAATTTAAATAGTATTTTGGTAAAGCATATATAAAATCCTTTTGATCTTAATGTTATTTTTTACCTACTACTAAATAAATAATAGTTTTGAAAAAAAATAGAATGATTAAGAAAAAAACCATTTTAAAGAGTGACCAACCCTACCAATTTGGAATCAGATGGTCGGTGATTCTGACTGTTAAGCCCTAGATCGTGGAATCGATTCAAATTCTGGCCAAATGATTGTATAATATATAATCAGCACGATCATTTGTTGTGTCTGGATGTAATTTATTTATTTTAGGTATTTCAACTTAATATAAGTATGTTTATCAGCAGTCTAAGGTGTCTTATAGTATTATTTTTACACTGTGTACAAAAACTACGAATTTAGTCAAATGGGCTGCAGTGCAGATAAATCTAATAAAAAGTTAACACAGAATTTATATACCACTTCTCTCATAAACTTGACATATTTTTCAACAAAACTGTTATTATTATTGAACATAAATAAGCAAAAGCATAAATAGCTTGCATGCAGGCTGTAGCCCTATATTAAAGGCCAGTAACGACAAGAAAGCACAAAACTCAAAAGTAAAATAAAGCTTAAATAAATACCAAATCATGGTGGATGCTGTCATAAGCGGGGGGCAGATTGCTCATTTCCTCCTGTGAAAAGGAAATTAAATAATATTTCAAGCTTACATACAACATTTATTATCATGCAACATTTTACAGTTAATGTTTTTTCTTGTATATTTAGATTAATTTTAAATATTTAATTTATATTTTCTAAAAAAACTATCGCTTTCACTGGGGTGGTCAACAACGTTGTTGAACCATACCTTTGGTACACAGTTACACACGAGCAAACAAAATAATCATGATGTAAAAACTGATAATTTCCCATTTTCAAATAAAATATGTATAACATTGGACTTGACTGAGACTCCATATTGGTAGCTCACATTGTCAGTTTCTTAATTATTACACATAATGACTGGAAAGGATTTGATTGGAAGTTCCCATTGAATATTTAACCTGCCACTTATAATAAGAAAAAAATAATGTGCTAAAGTCACTGATATATAAAAAAAATTAGGGATTAATAAAATTGTCTTAAAAACAGAAAACAAGGCATAACACTATATTAACATTACAAGAAAGAGAAAAACTAAATTGTTTTTAAGTGCTTGCAATGGAAAATAACAAAAAAAATGGTTTAACTTAAATTAAATACTGTTTTGCTAATGGAATCTAGTCCTTTAATATTTAAAGTGTCTCACCTGTAAGAAGCTATCACTCAAATTTTTAGAATCGACTCCAGGAGGTAGATGGTATCCCATTGGCTGTTGACTCGGTCCACTGAAATTCGAAGGTGGGGTAGCCACAAAGCCTCCTACTTTACCACCAGATGGTGACTAAAATAAAGAACGATTGAAATAATTAATCGCTTTGAAACTATGCAATATAAACAATATCTAACAAATAATGTAATTTTTAACAAAATCTATTTTTGAATCCATATTAATTAATCGGTCATTTCAAAAACCTCGTCATATTTTTTTCCAACTTTTTTTTGCTGAATATCATTTCTTAAAGATAATATGTCGATACATTCCTTCCTCTTCAAATACTACCGCGTAGAAGATGTTCATTGCATAGGTACATGGATAATTAGTTTATATAACTTTAGATTATAAGACTCACACCAATGTATACAAACTGTATTATTATTATGTTCTTACTGTACCATAAAGAGTTATCTATCTTTAATACAAGTGAAATGTTAATAAGTTAATTTTTAACTGTAATTGTCAATAATAAGCAATTAAAGAAATATGATTATTATGATTGTTCTGCTAAAATTATGTACCACTAACCCTATTTCTTGTTAAAACAACAGAAGTCAAGAACAGTTTTTGAGGTTTTTCATTATTATTGTTAATAAATATGAAACCTTCATATATATTCAATATTTCATTTTTTTATCAATGCAATACTAAATTAAGCATAAAAAAGTCATTTTAAACTCGTTTTGCATGAAACAGTTTTTATTGATTCTTTTTCTTTTTTAATGCACACCTAGGTTATTTAAGGAACAACTGTAAAAAAATTCATGGTTCTACCCCCAGCAGTTGCAGCTGTGTGTTGATCGATCAGTCAGTGAATCAGTCTGTCAGTGTCTTTTGCTTATAGATATACTTAAAACTCTTGTAGCTACAAAATATTCAGAATACTTACATTGGCATAGCTGAATGGTTGAGCATTGGGTGTAGGCATGTTAGGCATGTTAGGCATCTGTGGTGCCTGCGGGTAACCAATAAAGCCTGGTGGCATTGGGGGACCATTGATGTCGATCAACAATGCATCCTGACCAACCGCTGCAAAAGAAAAAAGTGTTTTTTATTATTATGTAATGTTGTTATAGTATGTAATATTGTCCAGTACTCTGCATTCCTGTAAGGGCTTTTGGCATAGCCAGGTCAGTTTATGAATGGGTGACCATTTCTTAAAACATTGAGACCCTTTCGTGCGTCGGACAGCACTTTAAGCTGTCGGCGTCGGTGCCGGTTGCCATACGAATATTGGGTAGTTGGAGTTCTAAAAATTCCGAAAATAGTTTTAGTTTTGGTCTGATGGCAGAAGCACAAATCAAAGTCCGGTTAGAAATAGTTACGAATAGAAAACGAAACAAGCCAAAAATACAAGCCAAGTTTTCATCTAGGTACTACTGGGTTGTACGCTAATTCTTAACACTCCTGGTCTTTCATCCAAATTTTGTTCTATGAATTCTGATACTATCCTAGACTATTATAAATTGGGAGATAGCTGACAATACATACATGTTTTTTAACAAATCCGTTTTTAAATATTCGTCAGAGAAAAAACACTTACAAGTTTATTCCTTGTTGCTATTATAAACCATCTACTTGGGCCCAGTTTGTTAATTTAACTACAATTTTAGTAATTAAAATTTTATAACAGTCTAATCACTGCTATGTGAAGTTAATACATTGTTTTATAATTTCAATTACCAAAGGTAAAAAAAGAAAGAAATAAAAGTAAAAAGCATGTATTAGGCAAAATATCTGCAATTTTTTAGAAGTCTTAAAGTCCAATATCTTGAAAATGGTAGGTTTGGGATATGGGATTGCATTGTAACATCTATCAGAAATAATAGCAACAACACTTAAAGTATCTACATCGACTTAAACAGTAACCCTATATTGCCAGGGGTACAGAAAGAAATACAACATACTTTCACACGGACACTAAATATGTTAAAGGTTAGGTTAATTTAATAAGATAACAAGTTTTCCTCTGTTTGCTATTATTTTTAAATATTTTTTTATTATTGATTGAATACCAGTTTATAAGACATCGCTCACACTCTCAATTGCTGGTAGCCTGTCACACTTTGAACAATTGTGTTGTTACTATATGGAAAGTGTAGTGACCAGGAAATTAGTAAATAGTTTTATGTATCAACTTGATAAATACAACCCACTGGACTGAATACCCGTTTTATCATATACACACAAACTTTTATACCACAGACTATTACCCTATTGCAGTGTTATGGACACATCAGTAAGTTTGCTGGTTGTCCACAACATCATAATAATAATATACATACCTTCTGCCTCTCTCATGACTTGTTCATCAGGTGTATATTCAACATTATAATTCTTTGCAATCTCTATCAAGTACTTTTCAATGAGTATCTTAGGTGGGCTGTGTACTGACATTTTGTGCTTCAACTTGTCACTTATAGTGTTCACATCTTCATTTCTGCAAGCATCCGCATAAATCTTGCCATACTTGGCTGTTAACAAGTCTGATATAACTTTCAGCTCCTAAAATTTTAGAAGAAACTGTAAGATCATGTGAAAGCAAAATTGGTACAAAATATAAATTGATAAAGCCTGCTTGATGTTTGTGTAGTTTAGTGTATCTTGAGTGCACACTTTTAAAACTTTAATATTAAGGAGGTACCTATATAGTGAAATCGGATGAAGAAAATAAAACATTAGATTATTGGTACATATGTGTTAAAATTGTAGTTAAAAACAAAAAAAATTTTTGATTTAAAAAAATTTAATTGTCATTCATGTTTATACATCCTTTAAAATTAAAAGTATGTGTTTTTTGTTTAACATATGAAATAATAAAGTAACTTACTTGTACATCTGTGTGCATTCTGGGTGCAACCCATATAAGGGTAGATATGGCTTCAGCTAGGCCTTCATCCAACTCCTTCATTTGTGTGACCAACCCAAACCTTGCTAACACCAGATCACAGTACATTTCCACTATTTCCATTGCTTCTACCATGTAATCCTCCCTGTTATCGTTAATATTAATTTAGCAACTCGGACAAAAAACATTATATTTGTTTAAAATTTGATCTTAATTATAAACAGAGGTGTGGGTTCTAGAGGTCAGTAAGTTAAAAAAAAATATCCAAATCTCATTAAATCCCTTTTATTTTGAATAACAATTTCGAAGACAACCTCGTTAATGCCAAAGAAGCATATTCATAAGTCTTAGTTAAAATGACGTAATTTCTAAAGGTATATCTGTACAGGAATGATCAGATTCCAAATCAGACCTCAAGGTTGATGTTGTTCCTAATGTTTTCCTTATTAAATACATAAGAAATTGAAATTGCACTAACCTGATAATATATTCCACCCTTATTTTCGCTCTCTCACTTTTGCCAGCAGCGATATATTCAGCAATTTCCTTCCTTGCTTTCTGTGCTAGTTCAGTTTTTTTCTTTTCCAGTAACTTGAGCCGATTTATAGATAGTCTCAAGTGGGTTTTCAGCTTAGTGTAATTAGGATTAGTAGAAAACATTGTAAATATAATTATTTAACAATAATTAATATCACACAAGGGATTACGAATGACTAACACAAATTATTTACTGTTTGTATGAATGAATCACCAAACCGACTAATTATTGTTTTATTCCATACGTCATTTGACAGATGTTGATAGAAAAGTTGAAGTAGAAAGGATAAGATATATTCAATTTGTATAGGCCAGACAAGGAAGAAGCAAATACAAAGCATGAGTCCCTATATTTTCATTTGAAAACTGTCAATTGTCATTTGACTGCTTTCAAATTGGAAGTTGACATTAGTCAGAATATGAGATTTAGCAATACTTGCTATATAGAAAAATTATAATCATGTCATTATAGTGGCTAGTTCATTTGAACCGTAGAGATTTAAGCATAGAGAGAACACGGGGTACAGCTGCCTGAAAGTGGAAGCGATACAGGCAACGAGAGAGATGGATGTGCGTCAGTTCCCTGTGTCACTGTTTAGCTAAGCTGCGATTGGATATCACGAATATAAATTTTCAGAGCCCACCAGAGAGCTCGACTAGAAAGAGACAGAGGGAACTATCTATTATCCATCTCTCTTGTTGCCTATATTGCAAGATTTATGTTCTTATTCACTCTATGCTTATATCTTTTTCATATGCACCGATCAGTAGACATAACTCTGTATTCTCTATCGTCTGTATCGGAGAGCGATCCGAAGAATCAAATTTCAGCAATTTTCTCAGCAAAGATCTCGATGTGTAAGGGCAAACACCCAAATACTCCGAAATATTTTATGCCAAATTTCGATGTTCCGATTTTCAAAAGTCCGAATTTCATAATTCCTATAAAGAGTTATAATGTCTATTTTAAAAATTCACAAAATTTATTTTACTGAAAGTCATATATGCGACGTTTTTGTTTTCCCATTTTTATAAATGCTCGATGGGTTCTCGGTCCAAAAAATGACAATCCGATTTTCAATTCTTGGAATAAACTGCTAAAATTATGATTCTGATAATATAATATTCAGTTACTCATGTTTATTCAAAGCTTTAAGTAACGTTTAATGTAATTTAAAAAGTCTACTTAAATACTTGTTATTAACATTTGTGTATTAATATGTTGTTGTGTTTTCTTCTTCTCCTTTTAAACCTGCGTCGGGTAGCATCTACTGTTATAAAATTCTTTGTGTATGATTAGGTTAGAACTGCGACCACTGAAGTGCGAAGGGGAGCGAGCGCAGCGAGCTGGCCGCGGTAGCGCCCGCCGAGCCCCAGATCTCCTCTATTGTTGGTGAATCATTTGAGTAAAGTTAGTTTAGAACTGTGACCAGCGAAAGAAAATATTTTTATTCTCAAGAAAATAGAAAGAATTCAATTTTTGTAGTTTCGAATTATCATTACGTCGGACTGTTTGTTATTCGATCTATTGAAACTCGGTATTTTGAGCATAGCATTATGAATATTGAAATTTTTGAATGATAAAAATAGGATGAATGATCAATCGGAGTTGTTATATTAGGAATTTTGAACCATTCGGAATTATAAAAATTGGTATTTGTGACTGACGCCATAAAGTTTTTCGTATTTTTGTAGTCCACCCGGTGTAAAGACGTGCAGCCATGTTCTATGAAACACTAGAAAATATGGCATGCGATTTTTGTCACAAGAGATCGCGATAAAATCACAAAATTGCTTTAACAGTCCGATGTCTATAGTGACCTCATAGGCAAATGGCAACAACGCTGTGACGAATCATGTGGGGGGCGCCACCTTTACCAGTTGCGAATGGTTGTCGAGGACATGGCTTGAAGTGGATCACTGTGTCACTCAATTTCTTGCAGGTCATGGTAACTTTAGAAGCAAACTGCATTCATTTAAATTTGTCAAGTCACCATTTGTCAATGCCCAACACTTGACTTTACCTGTAAACAGTCGGCGCATTTCGGGGTGATGAGCAGGGCAACCGCCCAGGGTCTCGCACAATATTGCAACAACCCAAAAAGATGTGTATTTGAATTTTGCGCCTTATGTCTCTCATTTTAAAACTTACGTCACTCTACTCGCACTATCTTGCGTGGTATTTATCGTAATGTTTACAATTTAAGGTCGGGGATTGCCCGTGTGCGATTTCGCCTGGCATCGGTTAATGCTTTTATGTTTGAGCAGCAGTATGTGTTGCGTTGCATTTGTTATTTTAAGTATTATCGTAAAAACTAATTCCACAAAGACAAGGCCTCGCAATGTACTACCACCTCGAGGCCTCGCAACGATCATCCGCCCGGTGCCTCGCATTGATCTACCTACCCAGATCCTCGTATTGCAGCAGCTACCTGCAGCTCTCTGCTCATTATATCCTTTGAGATGTAGTCTTTGTAACAAAGACGAAAAAAACGTAATATTGAATAGCTTACAGGTGATATCTGGAGCGGTCCGGGCGGTATACTGAGAGGATCACTTAGGACCCATAATATTTTATTTCCCTGGTACTTTCCTGTTTGTAAGGGTGTATGACTATTTTTACTTGATTTTGTCTCCCGATTTGCTAAGGAGGGAAGTGGATTTATTAAATTACCAGCTCCTTCAATTTTCTTCTGATTAATTTCGTTGCGGGTTCCAAGACAGTTAATTTGTAGCTGTGTTTATATTGCGTGAATAAGCAATGCTTTGGTCAGCCGTAATCCTGTTCTAGTCACCATCCATACTAATATTACAAATGCGAAAGTGTATCTGTCTGTGTGTTCTCTTTACGCTTAAACCGTTGCACTGATTTAGATGAAATTAGGTATAGAGATAGTTTGAGTACTGGGAAAGGACATAGGATAGTTTTTATCCTAGAAATCATCAGCTAGATGCTTTTTTTTATTAAAACCATATTATCTTATCAAAGAATCAATAAGAAGTTACGTAGAACTAAATTACACATACACACACTAATATAAATATTTTTTTCTTTTTTCGTAAACTCGTCGATCAAGCTCTTAGACTATTTCCACCTTAAAATTTTTAATATATTTTCTAAATTAAGACCCGAGTAAATCTGTGATAAAATAAACGTGCGAAAAATTCGGGAGAAAACAGATTTTCGCTAGGTGATCTAGTTTTCGAAAAATAAGGTCACGGCCACCTAGGAACGCTTATAACTTTTGAACCAGTGACAGACAAATTGTGATATTTGGCGACAAATTTCGATTAATTAGCGACTAAATTTTGAGAAAACAGTTCTTCGCTAGGTGCCCTAGTTTTTGACATGCAAGCGTGGCCCTACTGGGGAGACTGACTCCAGCAGGGCCCTCTAAAAACGCTTGTAACTTTTGAACCAGTAACCGACATAGTCTGATATTTGGCGTCTGATTAGGGACTAAATTTTTTGTTATAATATTTAAAATCCATGATGGTGACCATGTCAGGGTCAGTGACACTTTGGCCTACATTATTTCGCAACGTAAGACGCGCTCACTTTTAACCATGTGTTTCAGATACAGATGTAAGCCGCATGATAGTGGCACTAACCTATTTTTATCGTGTAAAAATTCTCAATTTACCAGAGCCGAAGGTGAATTGGTATGCCGGGCACGAATTGAGTGAAACCGCACGTTGTGTCGTTCGTACAAATGTGCCTACTGCAAGGGGCCCGGGTTAACTAACAAGCCAACGAGAGCGCCGTAGTATCAGGTCTGCTTATGCAGTCTGTAGGGGCAGCGGCCAGGCCGAACGGTTACCCCCAGGTCCGAGAGATATTATTAACTAATAGCTAGCTATCTCCTATTACCTATATTTTTCTTATCGAATTATGTTACATTATTGTAGCTTGGAAGTAAGGATATAAATGAAGTATATACATACAAAATTAACATTTTATTTTGATTCTTACACATTTATATTAAGTTTGTTGCTACCTCAGGCAGACTTACCAGAAACGAGTGACCTATCCTACCATAATACATTAATTCAACATCCGATAGGTACATCTGATTAGTAAAAAATCTTAAGTCATAAATTCAAACCAAATATTAAGAGCAATACGTAGTCATTAATAATATAATTACTGTATAATATCAATACCTACTTATTTGATATTCGTAACATGGCATTAGAAATATCTAAACAACTATAATCAAAGGGCATAACATTGTCACAAAAATATTTTTACTATCTTGTTGTACGATATTTTGTGCAAGTCTATTTTTAATAGGCGTTTATCTTAATTTAATTTGAACTGGTATGTTAATTACGTGAGGAAAAGTCAGGACTCGAACTCAGCATGTTCTGTAACGTCCGTCAGAGCATTTTAAACTACAATATATTTTTTAATAAAGGCGTACCTCACGCAGTTAACAGAATATGAGATTCTTAGATGCTTTACTGTTTGCGTAAATTTATTTATGAAAATTAACACATCACGAAATATTTCAGTATTTACATTTACGTAGACACAGTTTGTTACGTAAGTACCTACATACATGTAAAACTCAAGATCATAAAGAAAACATGAAACATATATTCATTTGCAATACCTTTAAATTTAGCCATATCACATCGTTTTCGATTAATTTAATATTGTTTAAATAGAAGAATAACAGAATATTTTAATAAAAGTTTTGCATATGAGTGGCCATCAATTTTGAAGAAAAAGTCTCTAATATTCATTAAATGCGTAACAATTTCATTGTGCCTGTGAATTGACATTATTTTAAATATATATTTTCGCATAAAATACAAATAAGTACTTACATAGTATGAATAAAGCAAAGTAATCTTAATTATTTAATACTTAATACGTATTTCAAATTGTACGTAATGTCTAACACTGAATAAGTACATGAACATCAGATCATTAATTTCTTTATCTATAGTCACACAACACAGAGAACAATAAAAATAAACACTATAATAAAAAGCAAAGAAATGTTAAGTTAAGCTCGTTAAGGTCTTATATTGTCCCCTGTGAATATTTATGTGATAATTATTGTCACATCAATCCTTCCTATAAATTGAGTTTAGTTCAGGTTTAAGTATTTACAAAGACTAAAAACAGTAACAAATAAAAAGAATTAGCTTTCAATAAATAAGGTAAAAATAATACTGTTTAATAACGAAAATAATACTTCAGAATGTGCCTTAGTTAGCTATTTTAGCTCTAACATTCAGTCATTTTCAGAAACTATTTTATTCGTAACACTAGGCTTTAGAACTTTATTCAGAGAATTTTCATAGTCGTCATGTAAAATGACTGTGGTGGCACTAACATTGGATGGGCTGTGCGAGTGCGTGACATTAGTTCGATTGCTATCAGCTAAATGTTCAAGTTCATGGCTCTCCAAATTCGGTACTCCTGAGCACACCGAACTGACACGCGAAACTGATTTCCTTTCTTCATGTAGAGACTCCTTTAAAGAACTACATCCAAATAATTGGAGTAAGGAACATAAGAAAAATGTAGCATAGGTCCAACTTACAACCATTATAAGAGCTAAGAATGAACCTATTTGGGAATAAGGTAAAAGGTTTGAGCGAAGCAGAAATATTCCCGCAAAGCCAGTAGTCAACGCCGCGGCAGCAGTGGGACCTGCAGATGCTGATAATGCATACTTCACGCGAGCTGATTTTACGCCATTGGCGTTTGTATAGCTTAGAGCGTAATGAAGACTAAAATCAACAGCCAAACCAGCTGAGGTCGATATGGCTACACTTTCTAATATATTAAGCTTCCAACCATTTAATACAAGAATAGCAATAGTGACAGTTGCAGAAAATATCATAGCTGCCAATGCACAAATACTAACGACGAGACTTAGTGTAGCTGGTATGAGTACTATGAAACCTAAACTAGCTGATAGCCCAAGAGCCATTACAGTTCCACTAGCTAAAGTCTTTTGTAGATCATAAAATTGTAAATCTGACAAAAACCAACCACCCTGCATTTCTGGCGGAGCATTCTTTAATTCTTGCTGAGTCCAAGTTTCTACCTGGACATAAAAATCATTCATAGCAGTGTAAGACATTGAATAAGGTACAACACTTTCAAATTCTACAACCATAGCTGCCACTGTTGGGGGAGTAGCACTTCTAAGAAACTTAGGTCCTGCTACACCAGGCATGAACACTTGGCGTGATGTTTGGTACAGTGACTCAATGGCTTTAATTATACAAAACTCAAATATTTCTTTTTTATAAGGAAATTTTGATGATTCACAACAAGGAGATCTGTTTATTTTATCTATATGATCGACACATCTCCTACTCATATACATTTTAAAACTTTCAATAAAACAGTTAGGCAGCAGAGGGCCTAGAGTTTGTTGAAAAAAGGGTTGAGCTTTTATTCTAGCACAAAATCCTGCTAACCATAATTGAGAATTCTGTTTTGATACTGTAAATTTCTCATCAAAAACTAAGTATCCCTTTGATGTAGGATCCATGTGATTCCCATTATCTATAGCTTTTACCCCCCATACCCATCTAAGGGGCATTCTACTACCCGTCCCAATGTCTTTACCAAATCTTTCAAACAAGAACTTTCCTCTGTACACAATGTCATATTGTTCAAAAGGATGTGAAGTTTGGAAGAGTTGGAATTGTTTAGAATCTGGCAGTTGTAATCCTGGGTAGTGGAAAACTACAACAATACTGGCAAACCCTATAGCACCCAATACTACAACAAACATTATATGTAATCTTGTTACACATGTTATAATAAATCTATTCATCATTAATCTGATATCTTCCCAAAACACACTTAAACTTTTATGAATTATATCTAGTACCTTTGTCCGACTTGTACACAATTTAACATCTATGATAAATACTGATACAGGTAACCAACTAACCATTAAAAAAAAGTTGACTAGAACAGCAGTGCCAGCAAATACACTGAAACAATTAATTGCTGGAATGTAGCTTACATATGATGCATAGAATGCAACAGCAGTTGTCAAAGTAGTAATAAACATTGTCAGTATAGAGTGCTTCATAGTTTCTTCAAGAATTTGTGTGAGTATAGTTTCACTAGCACTAGAGACATTTTTTATATCACTGAGACCATTCTCTTCAGGAACCACATTGTCTCTAATGAGTTGTTTGCCCACCATCTTCCATATTTTTACATAGATAAATGCATCATCAGCTCCAATACCTATGACAACAACTACTACTAATAAATTCATGAAGGGAAAAAATTCCAAATTGAACACATAGATGTAGAAGAAGTATGCTATACCAATTGAAAAAGTTACTGCTGTAAATAACAGCACAGTGAGAATGAGAGATTTTGTATACACCCACACACACATAAATACAAACACTCCACCTAAGCCAATCAACCAAGTATCTTGTATTACCCACAAATCAAAAAGTTCATTTCTCAGTCCAAAATCCATGGCCGGGATTACAAGGGTGTTATAAGACAAATTTGTACTCTGCAGTTGTTTATAATAAGGTAATATAGTACTACTTCTAGGCAATGGCAAGAAGAGCATCACATTACTGACAAATGTCTGTGACACGTTTGAAGGTGTAAACGCTTCTGAATCAATTAAGTAAAATAACAAATTGTATATTGCATCATACTGAGAACAATACTTAGGCACCTTACAGCGATCTAAATCACATGATGCCATTAAGGTAAAGTTATGGAAATATCCAGCGCATTTTTCTAACAATTTCACAGTGTTGTCCACATCTTTTTTACTTAAATTTTCACATGAAGCCTTGCGTGACAGTAAAGCTATGTAATTTGGCACACTCCAAACTGGACAGCAAAGCTCCCCAGGATGTGAGGCTCTTTGGCACATCTTATAATACTCAACACCTCCCAATTCTACTAAAAATGATTGATATCTACACATTTTTTGTATATTTTCAAATGCCAACAAAGATCTGTTGTCTGTATCTATGATAACTAAATGAGTATATTCTGATATGGGCGGTCCACAGGTCCCAGATGCATAGTTGTGATGGAGAGGTTTATCAGGTTTCCGCTGCATTTCTTTTATTGACACCCATTGTTTCCTTGTGTGGTCTTTCAGAAATACAGCATTATCATCTTCAAATGTTTTGTTTTTTCCAAATCCCCAATGGACATGGCCATTAGATATGTTAGGTTCTGATTCTAGCCATGACTTTACGAAAATTGTATTATTATAGTTAACTTTTTTTTTCTTATTGCGTCCTTTGTTTTTAGAGCGGCCACGACCCGATCTGGGTCTATCTTGCTTTGTTTTGTTGTGGTATGTTTGATTCATGCGAATTTGATCTTCGATTTCCTTGGGATTTACGGCTAGTTTACGAGATGGTCTTGTTTCCTCGACTAGGTTTTCCCACGCAATAAAACGGTGTGCTAGGATGGTGCCTCGAGTTTCGAAGCCTACGATTGGATCAGAAAACGATGGTAAGTTGTGGCATACCAGAGGAATCACAGTTAGAATAGTTGAGATCACAGCTACTGTAAAAATAACAAGGTAGGAGTGGCGGACGATAAACCTGGCGTAAGCTGACAACATTTTTATGTAATGATTTCATGGGGATCATAATTACTTTACTGCACCATCTTCTTAAAGCAGCATAAAACATACCCAACTCTGTGACGCTAATATAAAAAAACCAAAGAGGGTTCACATTTTGCAACATAAAGTAATAAACACATTGGGAAAATGGAAGGAATAAAGATTCACTCCTCCTCAAAATACACAACTAAACTGCCACAGAGTAAAAAATGTTGTCTTATTCTCATTGTCAATTTTCTCAAACCTGGACAACGAACTATGTCATGTTTGTGCCAAGAGCTACCAAGTACTTGACATTGATGGGTCAACCAAATTTAAAATAGGAGATTTTAACGGGAAAAGGCATAAAAAATAGATAACAAATATGAGGCCCCTGACTTCTTAAAAAGACGTGTAACAAGATTGCATTGTAAAATTAACTTTAGTCAAGTTAAACACATGAAATATGAATGAATTAGTCAAGACAGAAAATACCATAGACAATAGACACGTTTTCATGATTAAATTGCTTCTTTTAAGTTTTGTTTTATATTCTACTGTGATTGGGATATTTCGTTAAAATGAAATTTAAAAAATGAGTGCTACATTTTTTAATTTCATTTTATATTATATTTTACTTCTTCATAGTATTCGGTTTCAATATGGTCACAAGAATTTAATAAAATGAGAGCAACATTTTGTTGTCTATGACAACTTGTGATCACAAGACCTCTTCGTTTTTAAGTTTTCTGTCAAGGCAAAAATTGGGCGAAAAAAGGCCGTCCCTTTCGGGAAAATCGGGTAAATCAGCTCCAATTTGCTCAAAAACTATCTCAAGATGAGGTACTTCCTAACTTACCTGCTGGTGTTGCTGCTGTTGGCTGTGCTACCGATATTTTCTATGTACTATCTTCTAAATGGAAAGGGTGAGCAAATAAGCTTCGGATGGTTCTTGGAAAATACGTCCCCCTACATGTGGGCAACGTTGGGCATAGCTTTCGCCGTCGCCTTTTCTGTTGTTGGAGCTGCTATGGGTATCCACACGACCGGTGTGAGCATAGTTGGAGGTGGTGTCAAAGCGCCCAGAATCAAGACCAAGAACTTGATCTCCGTCATCTTCTGCGAGGCCGTCGCTATTTACGGGTTGATCACTGCCATCGTGTTATCTGGAATGCTGGAGAAGTACACAGAGCCCCTGATTGATGCCAATATTAAGAACCAGAACTTTATGGCTGGTTATGTCATGTTCGGTGCTGGACTCGCCGTGGGTCTCGTCAACCTGTTTTGTGGTATCGCCGTCGGCATCGTAGGTTCAGGAGCTGCCCTGGCTGATGCTGCTAATGCTGCCCTGTTCGTCAAGATCTTAATTGTTGAAATTTTCGGATCAGCCATAGGTCTCTTTGGACTCATTGTGGGTATCTACATGACATCAAAGGTCAAAATGGGCAACCAGTAATTTAAGAATAGTTAAAAACTTGAATTTAAGTGTAAGTATCAATCTTTATTCTTGTCAATATATATTTTTGTATCATATTATAATTTAACAGTAACAGTAAACATTTTTTATTAAATAGTTTTTTTATGTTTTTAACTTTAAGAGCTGGTTATTACCTATATGTAATTACTATATTGGAATATTTCATGGCAAGCATGTTTAATACATAACATATAAAATCAGCAATTCGAGAAAGTATTTACAAAAGCAGTAAAGTTATTGAAATATTTTTGATCAACTGTTAATGTTTATTATAATCTTTTAAATTATTTACAGGTATGATTATTCTATTATGTGACTTATATTTTTTTTATTGTAATATCAGTGAATAATCTTTATGTAATCACATGATTTTGCATTTAGAATCTGTAAGCATAAGATGTTATTTATTTTTCACCTATATATGTATAAATTTCAGTAAATCAAATAAACCTGTCATCTTGAGTCAATAATTAAAAATTCTTTAAGACATTAATCTGTCTTTTTTTTAAATTTCAGTGTACAACAGCACTGGATGTTACAGCCTTGACCTAAACCTAAAGAACAGTTTCCAGTGCCCCAAACTATAACTTATAACCGAAGAAGCAAGTTGCAGTGTTGAACTTGTGTATTTTCCTGCCTACACTATGTTGATGTGTTTATAATGTAACATATTATATTTTCCGTGTTAATATCTAAAATGTCTGATCTTAGCACTACGTAGTATTTATTCTATTAAACGTTTTGACCTCACAACTGTATGTGAAATTGACTTTTTTGTTGAATTTTACAAAATCTTTAGTGCTAAGATGGCAGATATTTAAAAAGCAATTTGGATTGTATTTCAGTATATTATTGACATCTTTTATATGTAGCCGGTTTGAGATTGTTTTATTTTGTCATAACAGTGTTATAATTTTGAATTGACTAGGTATTATTTTAAAGTTTCCATGGCCTAATCTGCATACGCCCATATTGTCACCTAGTACCTAGTCATTTATAAGGCTTATACATTCCATAAAACCTATTTTCAAGTTTTGTAAAAAGCTTTGATTGGTAAATCTGTATCCCATGTTATGCATAGTAATAATAAATGTACATAAAATTTAGTATTTGGCATTATAAGCTGTTTTCCATTGGACACAAATGTATATACTTGGGTGATATTGATGTCATTGTGTACCGACATCACTGATGCTCACTTAAATTTGGAAAGCACAAAGTCATCTTGAAGGATGACATATGATCATTATCTAATGATTTTATACTACTTTAAGAGAATATTTGTGTCTTACGGAATATATATCTAAATTGTTAAAACTCTGGTATAAAGCACTGTTTACCTTTTTATATTTAAACAAAAAAAAACTTCCAATTGTAAATATTAGTTTGCTTCCTTTACTAATTTATTATACTTGTAAATTCATATCTGCATATACTTAAATATAGGTGTTGTCACGTTGTGAATGCCATAGATTGTCAGTATATCAATATTGAAAGTCTAAAGTAAGCAATGATCACATTGGAACAAATTGTTCGAGAAAATATATCAGTCTATGAAATCATTAACTGGTGTAATTCTAAGTTAAATATATTTTATTTGTGCAAATGTAGATATTATGTATGTTGATGAATAAATAGATCAAAAGTTAAACAGTTTTCATACTGTCCCTCAAATCTAAAGAAAGTTAATATTGTAAGAAATCAAAAAGCGGTAATTTAGAAATATACTCTGGTCACTCCCAATAAAGTGATTGTCCCCCAATTTTTCGAAATCGTGAATAATAGTGCCATCCAGTTGCAGATTGAAAGCTTGTGATCACTCAAAACATAATTATCCATGACCATTGGAAATTGTCACCTCAGCTTCTATACCGCTCAATTAAAAAACAAACTGAATAGTTGTAGGGCTAATTATTCGAAGTAGCAATAGTAGCGAAGACTGACGGCCCCTTATGTTGCTATATTGTAATGTCCTCAGCGCGTGATGGCTGTCAGGGTCACGCACAATTCCTTTGGAAGCAGTGAGTTACCTTGCCGGGTGTATTGACTGTCATGGCACCTTTTTTTTTTTCTGTGCGGAAATACCCTCTGATACTGTACCCTAGAAAGGAAATCCCTGGTGCCCCGACATGACTGTCATGGCACCTGGAAGAGGCATCCTATTCCTGGGATCATTACACATTATGTGATTAGGAACTCGTTGGAGCGAGACCTTTACCTGCAGCTCTGTCGAGACAACAGTCCGAGCTTCGTCCACAATTCGGGACAACACCAACTTTGATGACTATGCACAAAGCACGCCGCTTTCGTGGCGGTAAGACTCATTATGTTGGATCGGAGATGCAGCAAGGCTACTTCTGCCAGCTAAAGCCGGTACCGTTTCAGGAAATTACTTCTTCGAGAAACTGCTTCTTTTAGCAGACTGCTTATAACTGATTCGAGAAGCTGATTCTTTTAGCAGACTGCTTATGACTGATTTGGGAAGCTGATTCTTTTAGCAGACTGCTCACCTACCACTGGCCGTTTGTTATGGGCTGTAGGAAAGCCCCGTGATGGTTCGGTTGCCCAACCATTGTTCTGGGTTAGTACTCTGTTCTTTATACAAGCAAATATTAACGTCATTGGTTACATAATAAGGTGTCTAATTATTCATTCTGTTGTTAACTATCTAGTTGTCTGGTAAGGGACTCGCGGCTCTCGAACTTACCTATCTAGTGCTGGCAGTACTAGACTACTAGCAGTACTGCTTCTATGCAAACTACAGGAACTTTAATTTTGTGGTTACATATTTATGTGATCTATCACGTAATCAAATATTATCGGACATTACGTTAAATCTTTTATCTGCAGATAGCGTTTTATGTGAAGATAATTTATTTTGTTTTCTTAAAACTGACCACTATAGACTAAACAATAATAAAGTAAAATTTATTTACTAGCATTTGTATGCGTTCGACTAAAAGTAAATGTTAAATCCTACCAAATAATTTTTTTCTGGATATAATCGTCATGAATATTCGGAACATATCCGACGTAATAGTTATGTTCTCATATGGTCAAAAGTGGCAAAATATTTATTTCTCTTAAGTTTAAAGTACTTGATTATTTAGAAGAAATTCTTGTTATTGTCACAAACATAAAATATTAATTTTTTTAATGGCATAATGACAATGGATTCAGTGGCGTAGTGTTGGTTTAACATGCTTAACGGTGTGCAGCGCAATGATATACCTATATCCTGAGTGAGCTATGAAATTAGGAGGTAGTCTGTCTACCTACAGCACCCGTCCGAGTGGCGCCTGCGCGAATGCAAACTTCCTTAGTCCACGAAAGGCACCTACCAATATTTTTGACAGGTGCTTTTCGTGGATCCCAATTTATTTTTTACATTTTGTCCACGAAGAGCACCAATGACTTAGCAGCCTTGTGCTGGGACGTATTTGGTTTAAAGGACGTTATTATTATTAAATTAAAGATATCTACCTCCAAAAAAGTACCTACACATACTTGCATATGTAAGAAATCTGTCTAAGTGGCATTTAAAAATAATAAATAACAACCACTCTTACAATTATTAATCTTATCTTATAACAACACTTTTTTATACATACTAATATTATAAATGTGAAAGTGTGTCTGTCTGTCTGTTATCTCTTTACGCGGATGACGCGCAACAACCGACATTTACGCGGATGGATCCGCAAGCAAAAGCTAGTGTTAAATAAAAATCCAAATTCAAATAAAGTTTAATCATATAGATACTTTTGCGTAGTAACTTTCATTACACATGTATTATGGCAGGTCTCAGAGGTACGGGTTTTATGCATTTTTTCTCATTTCTACTTTACAAATATAAAGTATATAAAAAAATAACAGTATTCTAATACAAGTAGGAGTCTTAGTGTGGTGTCCCAAGCTACTTTGGAAATTGTAAAAAATTCAAAAGTACGAGGGCGATTAAAAAATCATTTATACAAGAATGAAAATATTTCACACAATATATAGTATTAAACTTAACTCAGTGCCAATAAAAAATGTGTTTGTACTTTGTACGAGACGATAAACTAAAACTTTTTTTTTATAGAATAGATGGCAAACGAGCAGATGGGTCACCTGATGGAAAGCGACTACCGCCGCCCATGAACGCCTGCAACCCAGGAGTCACAACTATGCTCTGTTTATCACTTTTTTTTCTGTGCGGAAATCCCCTCGGATACCACTGTGGTGGTTGTCGGTCTTGGATTTAGAGTGTTTTATCTATGGTTTTCAGACTCGAACCGACTAAAAACCACGAAGCACAAAGAGCACCTCCAAAAAATATTGATAGTTGCCTTTCGTGGAGTAGGCTAGGTGTCATTCGCGCAGGCGCCACTCGCACGGGTGCTCCTTGAAATTAGCAAGTTAGAGTGAATAAAACAAAATATAATTTTAGCAATAAAATATTTTATTTCATTATAAAACAATCAAAGGTACCACTATTTTAAGGAATTGTCTGTAAAAGAAATTACAAAAATTACGTATAAAATGTGGAAAGATAAAATACATAGTCTAGTATTGATCAGAAAGAAAATTGAGCCAAAAGTTTGTTTATGAAAGTGGCAAATGTATAAATAGTACAAAGCAATGTGAAATTTGTTCCTAATGATAAAGCATACATTTGAGCACGAATACATGGAATGTTACGTTATAGGAAAATACATGGCGTTGTAATTGTTTATTTTTCGACTTTGACTTAGTAACGCATTACTTAATTATATAAAAGTACATATAATAAAGGTAGAAAGGTTGAAAGTTGAATTAAATTTTCGACACGGATAACATCATTCCAAATACACAATTTATTAAAATACTTATATATTCATATAATTTTCTAATGCTACGATCTCTGCTAGTGCTGTTCCTTTAAAAAAAACTATTTTTAAATTAACATTACCTAAATAAATGACTGTTATAGCCATATCTAAGATAAGTTGCCACTTTTAAGGATTCAAATTACGAAAAATGCCTGACTTTATCTTTTAGCAATCACTAGCATATTAGAAAATATTCAATAACTTTGTTCATATTTATAGTGCATTCTACGATTTCAATTAATATTAAATATGGCAATCTGATACTAGAGAATATCTAAATAAAGCTTTCACTTAATATTCCACTATTATCGTAAATCCTAATTTAACTACTAAACGTGTAAAAATCTATTTATTTACAAAATAGGTGGACTCTTCGTTAAAACGCTAATAATGCACGCAACACTCTTTATACATACAAAACTTGCAATTCATTATTTGTATTGAATCCATTATTAGAAAAAAAACAACAACCAGAAACATCTAAACACAAAAGGGCTTTTTAAAATCCCGATTTAAAACAAATGTTGTCAAGTTATATTGTATATATCTATCACACCGCTTTCACACTAATAAGGAAACGACAAATTTATTCTAAACATTATCTTATTTCTAAATAAGTTGTTTACAAACGATACTTTTGGTTTTCTTATATAAAAATAATAGTAATTCATATTTGCTCTAATCTATGTTCGCCGAACTTACACAATTTTTACCCCAAAAATTATATATTAACACAGAGCCTCTCAACGAGTTACAGATCTAAGGTTTCAAAATATGTTATGACTATATCTTTTCTACATATTTTAATTAGAAGAAATATGATGGAATATCGAATTTAAACCGAAACGCTCTTGAATGAATGCTATAACTAACTATATACATAACTGCCTTTCAATGTCATTTTGGCATAAACAGCTGCCTTTTACTATGCTATCATTCATACCAAACAATAATAATATTCATTCTTACAAGTTTTGGAACTCTAATATTGTGTGTGTGAGGATTTTCAGAGCCATACATACATGAATTAGAATCAAAATTTAAGTATTCAAAGTATTCGCTTGATTTGCAAAATTGTACCCAATTTTTTTAGCTTATAGTAAGTCAAATAATTACTTCTGACTTTATATGTACTAAGTATTTGTTCACAAAATTATACCTAAGAGCAGACTTGTAAAATGCCAAACCCGCCAAAAATATGAGTATTATAACACTAAACCCTACATCAGTTCCACTAAAGTTTCTACTTAAAGCACAAACAAATAATCAAAATAAATACTCATTATTCTACACTATGGCAGTGGGTACTGAGTGATCGACAGTCTTTGCGTAAATTAACACTAATCATTACAAGAGTACTATGAAGTATAACATAATAACTAATTGAGATTCATTGGAAATCTTGTACTATTTAAAATGTTGTTAAACTCTTGTCTCCGCATCGTCCTCAGTAGTAGATTTCCTAAAAATATAGAGAAATTAATACAATACACAAATTCATTCAAAAGCTGTAAACATCGTCAGCTTACGACACTTTGAATTATAATTCAGGCATTATTTAAAAAAATACGATGACGGGCTAACATTACGAAGGTTTAAGCGTTACCATTACTTCATAGTCAAACATTTAAGCATAATTATTCACAGTATGTCAATTTTTTATACCTTGAGCATATAAAAACTATAGTTAGTCAGTTTACGTTATACGAAAATTATTAATAATGAAATAGTAATAATATAGTACACCGCTATCATGCAAATGTAAAATAATCTAAAAATAAAATTTTATACATATTTTATTTTATTTATACATATTATCTTACTTAGATAACGTAAATGAATATATATAAAACTAATATCTAGACTAGTTTAGAAATAATGAAACATATTACCTCTTCCCTAAAATGGTTGAAGATGATTTTGCGCGCGGCAACACCACCGGTTAGCAAAGCAAAAGATGATTTATAATGAGTGTTTCTCATACAACCGCCACCATCTATTGACAAGTTTATTTATATGACTGGATTTCAAAATTGACACAGAATTGTTGGGACACGTTATAAGGGCCATTTACTATGTTTTTATTAACAAAGCTATATAAAATTGAATAAAAAAAAATTAAGACAAAATCCGACAAAGTTCTTAACAAGTTTTATAAGTTCAAGTTGTTATTCAAGACGATTTTATCTAAGCAATATAAACGTCTTAACATTTTTATCGCTTTTATTTTTTAAGTGGGTTCCATTTCCGTGCATGCTTATAATTAAAATTAACTGATTATTCGTCACTGACATTCGAGAGTTGTTGAAGAAAACATCCGAATAAATGACCCTTTCATTATTAAGTTACAGAATCCCATATTAATTAATATTTAGATAGATAGTTCTAAAGGCAGGATATGGTAGGCTGAATTTAAATAAAACTGCTAGCATATTTTATTAAATTAACGGGATTCTGTAAAGTAACTAAAGAAGCATGCACACAAGATATCCATGCACCAAATTGAATTCAAATTCAATAATTTAATACAACTTACTCGCTGCTCTCTCCCATACTTGCTAGTGGTGCCCCCATCTGTTGTTGTTGAGATTCGCCTAAAAAAGATTTTAAGTGTAAGAAAACAAATCTATATAATATTCATAAGACCCAGCAGATCGTATTCTGTAAAAAAATATTTATTGTTAAAGAATGACTGAGAAGTGAAAGCCTACCATACACTTTGGGTTGGGAGACCCAACGATGACATTATTTCTCGAATTGCCATAGACATTATAGGGATTGTAAACCGAACATCTTTTACAGTGAGATATATCTACTTACAAGTAACAGATTTGATAAGGTTATATCAAAATCTTTAATATGCAATCTTTCGATGATTATAATATTTTTTGAAATAACACAACCGACACGTGTTTATGTGTCTACAAGTAGTATCCGCAGGGACGATTCGACAGAAAATGAGCTAAACTGATGCATACACTAGTAAGAATCGAGTCATGATTACGATTTTTTGTAAAAATCTACGATAATATGCAAACGCGTGAAACATTTATTTTACGGTTCAATTTTATTATCACAAGTATACAATGTCCAACTTGTCTATGGTTACAAGTGACAATCTGTGAAATACAATAGATTTATCTTCTTCCAAGTTCTTAAAAATACACAAAAAAAAAACAAAACAAAAACACTCCTTTAGCTAAACGAACGTAAATAAACTAAAATGTTTAATAAAAATTAAGGCTGTGTGTTTGTTCAAAGCGTGTAAAATTACCTGTATGCGGCTCACTACTATGGACCTGCGGTGACTGGGTGATGGCACGCAAATGTGCGTGGTCCTCCTCAGCTAAAGCAAGCAAAACAATAACGTCAAAAGCAGATTTTCAAAACGCTATCAGGCCCGGGAATTAAACAAAAAAATGACTAAAGCACACTCAACTCAAATTCCACACAATACACTAGGAAATTAAACGTATTAAACAGTTTAATTACATAATTATTATACTGTTTAGGTAAATTTCAGAATGTCAGCAGCGTAGTATTCTACAGTTGATGTTTTTATAGAAGAAACAATTCTGGACCGCGCATCGCGTATAATTGTTTCGCTACCTTTTGTGTTACGTAATATATGCAGATATATAACACCAGGAATATCATGATAGGTTATCCATTTAGTATTATTATATATGAATTCTTCTCAATCGCTAATTACTCCGAACTTTATTCATTCTTCTTCTATGCTAAATGAAGAAAATAAAGAATTAAGCCAAATTACCTGTATAGGGGAATAGATATTTATCATGAGGATGATGCTTATCTGACCCTTCAGACATTCTATCATTGTAATCGCCGCCGTAGTGACCATCCATCTTTCTTTGATAGTCGTTCTTTAACATAGTCGCTATTCCTGAATCCCTATAATCTCTCGGTGGGTACCCATCATGTTCCCTTGTAGACACTCCCGAATCCCTGAAATCCCTAGACCCGTAGACATTTGTTTCTGAGTTAAGATATTTTGTTGGGCTGTAGCCGTAGTCAGATGTTCTCGATGCCAAGTATGTTTTGGAGCCGTAAGGATTGCCAGGCAGTCTGTACATTGTGGGGGAAATGGGGTAGTTTGGGTCATAGGGTATTTGTTTTTCCGTGTCGTTTGGTAGTACGCCGTACATGAGCTCCTCGTCCATTACACCGTATCTGTAAGAAGGATTAAAAGCATTACCTATAGAATAAAATGTTGAATTTTAAAACAAAAATCTAGTTGAATGAACTTTTATTTAACGAGATTTTGTCGCGATCGACGGCAACTCGGTCTAGCAATTGGCTGTTTTGTAAGTCTTCTTCAATACATAATTCAGATGATGGACTGCCCTGTTTGTAAAAACTTTAAATAATGAGTACAAAACAGTCGAAATATCAGTGATATAACTCGTCATTGAAGGGTTTACATTCCAATTCTTGTCTTTATCGTTGCAAAGTCTTGACTTAAATACATATTTGAATAATCAATTAGATGGCTATCAACTCAAATCAGCATCTTTTGATTAAACACCAAAACGATAGGCGCTGCAATTTTTGTATGAAATACTAGGGCGTGACGTCATACCTAGCCTTTATCAAATCATTTATGTTTAATATTGATTTGTAGATATTCACACATCTCACACACGGCCGCCTGATTCCAAACTAGGCAGAGCCTGTACTATGGTAACCAGACTGCTGATAAACATACTTATTTATTTCTAAATACATACATATTATAGATATTGTACACCCAGACACAGAACAAATGACCGTGCTCAACAAACAATATTTGTCCTGGGTGGGAATCGAACCCACGACCGACTGGCGTAGCAGTCATGGTCACTAACCACTAGACCTACAAGCCAGTCGACAATAACGATTATAATTTATAATTGACGATTCACGCCTAAATAATTTATTTTAAGAATAAGAATCAACCCTATTGTAAACAAAGTTCTGTAAATGTACCTCGTTGCCTTGATTTATAAATAACAAATACTAAATGCTCAATAACTCTTAACTAACATACCTGTTATCGAGCGGTAATCTCGACGCATCAACGCTGGCTACGTAAGTGTCGTGAACATTCTCCAATATGGAAGGCTTCATTCGATGTCTGCTGAGATGGTACACGTCTGATGTGAGGTCCGGATTAGGAAGTGGATTCGGCGATGGAGAAGCTAAGCCGGCATTTATTCCTTCGTTGTCCGAGCCCGTCTCTTGAGACCAGCGACCCATCTCTGGGCAGTTTGATTCTGATGGAGCAATAAAAAATTGCACTTGGACCAGAGTATTGAAAATAGTATCTAACAAAAAAGAAATATATGAAAAGTTCCTATTCCTTCATTATTCGAAGCACCAAGTCAAACCACAAACGTGGGAGTGAAAAGTCCATTAGCGCGATAAAGGATAATTAATTACTGAGTGTCACCTTGTGGTTGATAGGTGGTTATATTTCATACACTAGTAATTTAGTTACTTCTTAATGGCAAAGATTGCTGATGAACTACGTAATTCATATGTGGTCTTAATAATTGGTTTCATTGTCATAAAACACTTTTTCAAAATAATATCTTCTTCATGGATAAAGTAATCTATTAATAAGTATATAATGTTTTGCAAATAGTACCTTCTCTGACATGCGCTGGCCATCTCGGCGCTATTGCCAACGGAGCGCCTTCAGTGATGTTCGGCAGGTAATTAGACGCACTTGTAGCGCGATCCCCTGATAAAAAAATATATATTTCAAATTTATATACGGTCTAGATTGCTCTACACCAAAGGTTACTAGTCGCTAGATTTCTGAAGACTACATGTGATAAAAACCAAACAAAAAATATAAACACGATTGTGTAGTAGAAAGCGATATTCTTTTCGTCTGACTCACTAGATTAGACGACCACGCCCAAGGGGGGCCCGGCCGTGACACAAAAACTAATTTTGGAGTTTTGTATACAGTGTGTGAAATTTAATACGTGATGTAGCATCAGTAATTCGGCTTCATTTTGCTAGATGGATCTGATTGTGAATATTGTCTTACTGTTGGAGGAGGGCGGGTGGCTGGAACGCCTGGTGCTGGTCTCGTCGTCGTCGGAGGAGTGACTTGAGGCGAGGTCGAGGCTGCGCGCGCTGTCGGTGTCGCTGTCCGTGGCCTCGGTCACCTCCTCGCCCGCCTCGCCTGACGCCTCGACGCCTCGAGCTGCCTTGCGACGCCGACGACCTTCGTCTGGTGTATCATTTATCATCACGATACAAAGCTGATTTTGTCAGGAAGTTCTTGATCGCGCGTTACACGCAATGAGCAGATGAGAGCGAAAGCGAAAAATGTGTAACAAGACTTTTTTTCAACACATTTGTAACTTTTTTTGTTAATAAATAAAAAATATACGCATTTTTTTTAAATACCTTCACCAATATTTGTAAATGAAATATTTGTCAAATAGCACAATGAACTTCATTACTATCAGGTATCCCACGACACCACACTTTTTCGGTTTGTAACGTTATCTTAGCGACAGTTGTATCGATATTATTGTTTAATATTGGAGGTAACAGCGATACCATCCCACACAACACTTTGGTTTCTTTGCATGAGTATCTAATGTAGTCCATTCGCGTTAAGAAAATAGTGACGGTGCAAGGCTAAGGGTATACTCAGGTTGGAGTAAAAATTTAAATAATTTACATTTGTGCATCAATTTATATTAGATTATAGAGATATATAGATTTAGGTTAATCTACCTGAATATAAATGTTCTTTTTAAATAAAACAAAATCATAATAACACCTGCTGACCAGCTGCAGATGTAAACAAAAGATAAGAAAGCTTTATGGTTTATTTGTCTAAAGTATCTAATTTATCAACCCTTGATAATCGAACTCTTTTTTCACAGGCGATTTAAATGTCATGTTTGTTTACTATTACATAATAATATAACACCGTCATTTATACATACTTACTTATAAAACCACCGACTCTAATATACATCAATCATGATAAATTGTAATAGCTGATAAAAAAAAGCTTTTTCACAAAAAGTGAACATATAGATACATGTTACTTACAAAATAATAATCAGTCTAGTTGATAACCTCTACTTTTTTTTAATAAAGTCCATTAATAAAACTAATATAAAACCTACCATCTTTCCTGGTATGCAGTGAAGAGTCGAACCCTCTGAGGTAAGCGGGCATGTCACTCGCGCTAGTGTTGTAGTTTGAAGTGGATGTACTCGTGTGACGGAGTTGTCCGTCGCTACGGCTATACGAAAACAAGAACGAATCCTTTTAAACAAAAGTTGAATCGACTTCTAACAATACTGACAAAGAGCACTAAAAACCTAGCAGCAATCGCGGTTGATTCGCTGTCATTTCTTGAAGAGTTCCGTTGTCTGTCTCAGAAACTCATCATCAGAACTATATGAAAAATTTTTTTTTTCAAAAAAAGAATTTTTAAAATCTGTCCATATTTGACGGCGTTATAAAAAAAGCACTCGAATTGATAACCTCCTCCTTTTTGAAGTCGGTTAAAAATATAGAAAAATGTAAAAAAATGAATACAAACTAGATTAATCTACACATAAATAACGGAGTTCTGAGATAAGAGATATAAAAATGACTACTTTCTCCTGTTTTTGAAGTTGGTTAAAAATGTAATGTCATCATCTCACCTGTAAGGACTAGAACTAGTTTTTGTGGTCGACCTCGATGTTGTAGATGACGCAGATATGCCGATGTTCCTCATCTGCCTTCCTGGTTCTGTACTGCTGTGATATGCCAGAGAAGACCTGGTGAAAAAAAATGCCTTTAAATTTAAAAAAGGAGTTATACATGTATATATACTTCATAATAAAGTTGTGTAGAATTAACAATGAGTTCATTTTAACATAAACCGTCATTAATTTTACTAGAGCCTCTTTCTTTTGTTTCAAGTACTTAAAGATTATATAAAAGATAGTTATTTAAAGTTACCTGTTAATTTGTGACAGATTTTGGGCACTGCTGCTGATTATAACAGAGGTGTCGACTAGAGGCACTTTCTTTCCCATGCATCTTAGTATTGTCCTGTGGAAGAATATAAAATAATGTTAGGATTGTCAGTGTCCGTGTGGTGACGGATTAAGAATACAATGAGTGTCACAACCCTTATTCATCCCGTGAATGTCGTAAGAGCCGACTAAGGGAGCAAACTACGCAGGAAAACAGTACTGCAAAGAGAAGGAAAACTTAAAACCTATATCAACCCGTCTCCCAAGCGTGGTATTGCAGGCGAAAACTTCCTTTCTAAGGAGAGTCCTATGTCCAGCAGTGGACTATTAAACGCTGTTGATAATTGACAGGTTTGACTTTATCATTGTTTATCTATAACAATGCGTAACTCAACACTGTTTATAAAATGACTTATCATTTTGAATAGAAAACTCAAATTCGTTATAAACAAGAAAGTACGTAAAATAGGTTTAGGTCTGATAAGAAGAGTAGAGCGGTAACCTTTTGAGGTTGTCCCGTACGCGCACGTTGAAGGCGATGTAGCCGAGCGCGGCGACGGCGGCGTGCGCGGCCACTCCGCCGGCCAGCAGCGCGCTCAGCGCGTCGCGCCGCGCGCCCCACTCGCTGGCCAGCACCAGCGCGCTCGCCCACGACACGCACACCAGCGGCACGCACACCACGCTCACGCCCAGCACCAGCCTGCGACACACCACGACCTATAGACACTACCTAGACACTACCGCCCACACGCGGAACGATAAGCACGGACCGACAGACCTATGTCATACAGTATTGACTCACCGGGGAACGTCAATCTGGCCGCCCTATTAATCTAGTGGGTGATGGTCTTGACCACTAAGCCTGAAGTCATGGGTTAGATTCCCACCCGGGACAAATAATTGTATGCTGAGCACGATAATGTTTCGTGTCTAGACTTAATTTATCTATAACATGTATGTATTTAGAAATATTTGAGTATTTTTACCATATCTGGTTTTACCTACCTACTTTAGGATCGAACGGCCGTGTATGAAATGTTATTATTTAATGCATTTAGTTGTAAAATATTGTGTGAATTAATTAAAGAAATCCGTGAGATTAGACAAGCAGTAAAAGGATTAAATAAATAAAAATAAACAACAAGGAACTAGGCAGCTTAAAATTAACATTATCTCAGTTACGTTCAACGGTCCTTAGAGCAAAATACACTAAAAATGAAAAAGAGGTTTGTGGGGACACACCACTGTAGCAAATAATGAAATCTTGAACATGTGTTATTAGCATTAACAAATAAAATATTTGTTTGTGTGTCCCTATCGCTATTATTTGTTACCGACATGAGTATATAAGGGAACTTATGGTTTTTAATAAACGGATCTTAGGTTACCTTATTGTCTTATTTGGCTCTTGTCGACATTGTTGGAAATCCCTTAGTAATCTTTAGGACAAAGCGTAGAACTATCAAAACTGACATAGATGATATAACCAAAGTAGGCCCTAAGCAGAAGTCATAAAATGAAACTATACAGTATCGCCCATTGTCGTTAAATTAACCAGGAAGGCAAAGTGAGATGAACTAATTAAGGCTGCTAGGTCTCGGAAAAACCTCAACTCAGATGACATCGTCAATGGTTTAACATCCATACGCATACATACGACTTAAGACCTGGGCCTCAATTCTGCTATTTTATGTTCACGCCAAGCCACTGTCATACCACTGACACGCTATTGAGATGCCATCAAGTGGCCATTGGCATCGGTATAAATATTGGTAGTCTACACTAACTCAGTGTCTTTACAGTGGCGATGGAATGGCAGTGGCTCATCAGTGGTGATATCAAAAAGATTGCCATTTTTGGAAAAATAAATAAATAATTTCCTCAAAAAAACGTAATATATTTTCAAATTATAAGGATATTATTTATTTATATTCCACACAATTTAAAATATTGGAACGAAGTTCCTTATCGCGCGTTGTGAAAGGGGGCTAGACGGAAAAAATTCTCACGAAAAGTTGTAACGATACTTTTTATGTCAGTCATTCAGCGCCATCTATCGAATAGATAGGAAATCATTACTTTTCATCTCATTTATTTTGAATTGTCACTTGTCAGTCATTCAGCGCCATCTATCGAATAGATAGGAAATCATTTCTCAAGGAGATTTTACCAATGTATAAATAGGGAATATGCACGTGACACCAAAATGGACAAAATATTTTTAATTGTAATTTTTATTGCTAAAAAAAGATACCCATACAATTATTTTTGAAATTTATTATAATTTAATAGTGAAATTTAATCATCAAAAATTGGCTTTTTTAAGATTCCCTCGCAAATTTCTAAAACGCAACGCTATTGGTTGAATAAAACGTGACGTCAACCTACACTGTCAAGAGCGTCAACAAGTTGTGTGTATTTGTAATATTTGGTTTCTGGTGATTATTTGTTTCATTTTAAGTTAATAACTAATACGTTTTCAGTGTTAAATTATTAAATTCCCGTGTAGAAAGACTCAACACAATGACTGAATATACTTTGTCAGGTGCAGTTTTGATATTATTTGGGCACAAAGGAACGGCACAATATTTATAATAAGTTTTTATTGACTTTTCCATGGTAATAAGTTAATTTTTATCACTCACTTTTTTAACTTTCACAAACTTTGTGAACTTCACTCCGTTGTTGACATCGAATTCGTCTGAAAGTGTAATCTGTCGTCACAAAAAAAGCGCGCCAAAATGGACGTGTTCAAATTGCCCCAAAATGATAGTGATTTTAATAAATTTATTTTTGCTTAACGGTTTATATTTCGGATGTGTTATATTTATTTTTGGTAATGTAATAACTAGTAGAATCGTTTAAAAATATAAAAAAAATACATGCATATTCCCTATTGTTTTAATTAGAAAGCAACTGAAAAATATGTAGGTAATAGCCGCTTTCATAGATGGCGTTGTAATTAAAATCGTGTCAAATCAGTTTTACTCGATCGTCACAACTTCGTTCCTATCGGGTGTCCCACGACACCACACGGCTTTTTTATTATTACTTCTGTCCAAATGTATAATGGACGTTGTATTGACAGCCTCGATACAGGTTTCGCTAATTGTGGCTATCATTGTTAAACAAATAACATAAATCTGAACTTCAAATAAATTATTATTATTAATCTTTGAAGTAGATAATAATAACAATATAATACACACATTTTTGCCTACACATTCATTATGTTGAGCTAAAAATCAAATAACCCGGTCGCATTCTAAGCCAAAGTGCACTCATTAAGTCACTTATGCATAGCGTCTTTGATCTGATTAACCCAAAAAACTTTTGTTGCAAAAAACATAATCAAATAATTATCAACCTCTACTTTACAGTTCGATAGTTTAAAAAAAAATAACCACAAAAAACGTTCTTACCTCAAATTGCCAAATCCAATAACGTGATCCCTAACAGTGAATGCTGCTCTTGTGGCCCCAGCGAGGAACACAATGGCGGCTCCCGCGTAAATAGCAGCTGGAATCACCACCCACCACACCACTGGCTCATGACAGCTTACCCAGCAGCTAAACAAATTTTAGAAATTGGTAATTTTTTTATCACTTTGACTTATTTAACAATATTTGTTTTTATTTCAATAAAAGATTGTGATTGATAAATCTATAGACGTAGATCTGACATTACAAATGTAAGCAAGCTAAATAATTACATGTTACATAAAAGCAAATTTATAATAAAGTCTGAGACTAGAGATTATTTAGATCTAAACTAAGCCTTATATGTGCTATAGCCGCATGGGTTGTAAAATAAGTAAATATACATGAATTACTGTATATTCACACACGTACGAAACGCTTCCTGTATGCAAATATTTACACGTCATGCCATATGAATCGTCTATGTATACTATATATGTATATATATATATATATATATATATAACTAGGACGCCTTATACGCTAGATATGAGGTGCGGTACTGACAAGAGCGCGTTCCCGTACTGGTGCTGGTGGTGGCTGGCGGCCAGCGCCAGCAGCACGGCGGGCGCGGCGTAGGCGGCGGCGAGCTGGGCGCAGAGCGGGCCGTGGTTCACGTCGCGCAGCTCGCGCACCAGGCGCCGCACCTGCCACCCGTCGCACGCGCACCACGCCAGCGCGCACACCCACCAGTAGTGCAGCGACATCGCCACCAGCTTGCACAGGAACTGTACACACACCGAATTTACTTCTCACACCTTCTACACGGAACGACTTTCATCACAGTATTAAATTAACTAATAGTGGTTAATTAAATACATGATACTTTCTAACAATAGCACTAGAAACTATCGTATTTATTTAGTATTTATTTGAAATTATTAAGTAGATATTTATTTGAAAATCGAAAAAATATCCTATGAGACTATCTAATGAGACTATCCGGTTGTTAAACAATCCTGTTTCAAAACCGGATCTCAAAGCAAAAACTCATATTTTGACACTCTCAAGGTAATCAAAATTTATAGGATACTTCCCGTTGACCTAGAACTATGAAATTTGGCAAGAAACATCGTCTTATATATATAATCTGTATTTACCGATGTCCGATGTTTGAAAATATTATTATTATTATTTAAAGTACGTTATCAATCATCGAAGTACATTTGTTCACTTATAAAACAGAATGTTAAAATGAAAGTTTTGGAAACAATTTCAGAAATTTGTTTCAGATGCTTCTCACATTTTCAGTTTAGAAAATACAAAGAAAATTGAAAAGTAAATATACAAACCTCATTCTGAACCAAAGTTGTTCTAGCCTTTAGTGCAATAAGGTAGAGAAGTTCTGCCATAAACACGGAGAAGATGAGGTGCTTATGTATGGAGTTGGAGACTGTCGCCGCGCCGCCGCGCATCAGACACAGCGCCGCCCACGTCACCAGCAGCAGCGGCAATGATATACTGAACGCTGTGTATGATGTCACAGACTCCAGGAGAGACGGCTCTGGGACGAACTGTTCGTAAAAGAATATTATTATTTGTTGCATATATAGACCACAAAGAAATGTTTATTATTATGGGGTAGGTGATTGTTAAATCAATACCTTTTCTGAATCGTCAAAACGATAGACGCGGTACATTTTAGTATGAAAACACTAGTGCGTGAAGTCATACCTAGCTGTAATCAAATCTTTTACGCTTTTTGTTGATTTCAAAGTATTTACGGAGGACAATTTATGATGTACTTTACTTTGTTTATTTTACGATGTAATAATTTATTTTGAAGATAGGAATCTACACGAGTGGCTAAATTTTTTGTCCAAGTCTTCTGGTGTAGCAAATAGTGTAGAAACGCTAGAAATAAAAGCAATTTGACTTTGGTTATTCCGAAAACGTTATATTTTTTAATTGGGTGTGTTGCTTTTTTTAATCATTTGAGTGTTATTAAATATTTATAATAAACTGATAAAAATACATAAGAATATTTTTTAGCAAAGGATTTTACAATATGTTGTTATCTTTTTTCTATTAAGAGTTTCACTTGTTTTGCTATTATGTACTTACCTCGATGTCCACTTCATCTACCAGAACAGCAAACGTGGACAGATGGTTACATGTGCAGTTGATGAGGAGGGGCTCGTTAGAGTATGGGGACCAGTCGTAGTCTATCTCCGTGTGACAGCCCACGCGTGACCATTCACCAGATCTGTAGAAAAAAAAACACGATATAATGAATTATTTAAAAATTGTTTCGTATGCTTTAGAATTCCTTAAAAGTGTTTGAAATTGACTTTTTCTAAAACTATAGATCAGTAGATTATATAGGTTGCTTTTTCATTAGCGGGATATGATTTGTCTCGTTAATCCCTTTCTACTTATATTGTAAATGTGAAAGTGAGTGTGTTTGTTTGTTATGCTTTTACGCCTAAACGAGTAAACAGAATTAAATTCAATTCTTTCACCAATAGAAAGCTACATTATCAGCGAGTAACATAGGCTACTTTTTATCGCGATAACCGACATATACGCGGGCGGAGCTGCGCGCAAAAGCTAGTGACAATATCAAAATAAATCACACCGTGATGCATAAAGACAAAATTGATATCTATTTCATCTTCTCTGGTCTGGTATTTACAAAAGCAAACCGACATATATGTTTGAAACATTTAAAATATTTATCTACAAACTACGTACACAGGGGTTATATATACATAAAACCTATTCTTTTGTGATCTTTGACACTAAGGTCTCATAGTAATGGTTGTGACTACGGGTGAGAGATGATACTATCACACTTACCCTCTCAAAGTCGACCAATGTACACACTGAGGGTTCGTTCTTGAGCTGAAGGTTTCTCTATCTATATCCAACCATATTTGCAACCTTATAGGTCTCTTAAGTCTAATTCCACTCAGACTTTTATACATCAACTTCTTCTTCACTCCATCTTTGGTCAAGTTTCCACTTTCACTTATCAATGCCATTACTTTTGGTCCTTCATTACTTTCGAGTTTCTCAGCCATGTATGTTGATTCATTTTCTTGTAAATTATCACTCGTATAGGATTTGTCTTGTTTTTTGAATGCTGGTTGGATGACGATTGGACCGTGGTGGTCGTGATTCTGGGTTTCCTCTGACGTCCAAGTGTTTTGTGGTGGAATTGGGTTCAGGTGGTCAGTTTGGTGGGAATGATGGTTTCCCTTGTTAGCGTATACGATACCTGTTAAATAGTAATAAATGAATAATAATTAGACAATTGAATATAATTCAGAGTGTTAGACTAATGTTTGTTCGCAAAGCAAGTGGGGATGTGTTTTGGTTTACAAGGTTTAAAAATACGGGTCTAAGGAAATACGTTCGGTTTAATGTTCCGAGAGTTTCTGAAAAATAAAGTTCCTGCATGTAACTCATATCAATTATATCTGAGAATCATATTATAGACAACTACGACACTCGACACTTTTTCCCGTCGTCTCGAGTGGACAGCTGCTTTTTTATCGTATGGGAGGACAAACGAGCAGATGGGTTAATAGGGAATATGCACGTGACACCAAAATGGACAAAATATTTTTATTTGTAATTTTTATTGCTAAAAAAAGATACCCATACAATTATTTTTGAAATTTATTATAATTTAATAGTGAAATTTAATCATCAAAAATTGGCTTTTTTAAGATTCCCTCGCAAATTTCTAAAACGGAACGCTATTGGTTGAATAAAACGTGACGCCAACCTACACTGTCAAGAGTGTCAACAAGTTGTGTGTATATGTAATATTTGGTTTCTGGTGATTATTTGTTTCATTTTAAGTTAATAACTAATACGTTTTCAGTGTTAAATTATTAAATTCCCGTGTAGAAAGACTCAACACAATGACTGAATATACTTTGTCAGGTGCAGTTTTGATATTATTTTGGCACAAAGGAACGGCACAATATTTATAATACGTTTTTATTGGCTTTTCCATGGTAATAAGTTAATTTATATCACTCACTTTTTTAACTTTCACAAACTTTGTGAACTTCACTCCGTTGTTGACATCGAATTCGTCTGAAAGTGTAATCTGACGTCACAAAAAAGCGCGCCAAAATGGACGTGTTCAAATTGCCCCAAAATGATAGTGATATTAATTTTTTTTTTTTTGCTTAACGATTTATATTACAGATGTGTTATATTTATTTTTGGTAATGTAATAACTAGTAGAATCGTTTAAAAAAATAAAAAAAATACATGCATATTCCCTATTGATGGCAAGTGCCTACCATAGCCCATGGACAACTCCAACTCAAGAGTCATAGTCGCCTTGCCTTCCTTTGAGTCCTTCCTTCAGAATCGGGAGGAGGGGGTTTGGGTTCCGGTAACCTAACACACTCGGTGAAAAGATATTAAAGAATTGTTTATCACATAACACTTAACGTAAATTAATTGCGTTATCTGCACATAAACACACAGTATTTAACTTTGACTGCACAAGTTTAAGCGGTCGCCACAAATTGTTGTTCTGAGTCTGGGTGTTCTTTGTGTCCGTTTCATGTATGTTTGTAAAGTCCCCCGCGACACAGGATATATTCCTAATGCGGGAGTTGTTAAGAAAAAAACTACTTTATACATGAAAAAGGCAATAACACTAACCTTCGAGATCCTCGCTATTATTCTCACTCGAGTTATCCTCACTCAGGTCACTGGCCTCCTTAGTCCACACATACTCAGGCACGAACAGAGCAAGTTGTATTATAGGCGAGCCCACGGTGATGTTGACGCCCCACCGCAGGCTCACTGACTCGTCCATACGCAGCGGCATTAGTTGTGATGTATTGCGGGAATATTGGAGGTAAGAGAACACTGCCCGAGATTCGTAGTTTAACTCTAAGTTCTCTGAAAGTTTTAACACGTGTTAGTACAAGATCGGAAATGCGAATAACTGTAATTTTGTAAATTTAGACTACGTAATGTCCGTTGGTATTGTGAATCGACTTTTGTGCAATTATATATTACAACTAGCTGAGACCCGCGGTGTTACCCGCGTTTGTTGTTATAACTGCGGGCAACGCCGCGGGGCGAAGCTAGTCTAAAAAAAGTAGCCTAAGTTACTCCTTATGTCATCAGCTATCTGCCTGTGAAAGTCCCGTCGAAATCGGCCCAGCCGTTCCAGAGATTACCCGGCACAAACAGACAGACAGACAAAAATTGTAAAAAAATGTTATTTTGGCATATGTACCTTGTAAACATACATATGCATTTAGTAAAAAGCGGGTATTTTAATATTACAAACAGACACTCCAATTTTATTTATTTGAATAGATTAGATAAGTATCTTTAAGTCACCACCCCTATTCATCCCGTGGGTGTCGTAAAAGCCGACTAAGGGAGCAAAACTTGAAACAAACCCTATACCAACCCGTCTGGCCAGCGTGGTATGGTAGGCCAAAACCACTCTTCTAAGGAGAGGCCTATGTCCAGCAGTGGACTATTATAGGCTGTTGATGTGATGTGAAGTATGTTTATACAAGCTTGTTTCCATAATTTGCTTAAGTTTGTCTTTATAATCACGATACATATATGTTACTATGTTATTTTAAAGTCATGATACATGCGTATGTATCATGACTTTAAAATAACACATATAGACGCGTGTCTTCCATTGACGTAATATCATCATATTGGTATTTTAAAATTCGGCACCCCGAGTACAGGAAACTACATAAATACTAATAGTACTACTACTACTAATACTACTACTTACTACTACATAAATTAAAAAAAAAAACAATGGAATTAACAAATTTTAGATGGTATTACTAAAAATGCTTATCATAGAAGAAACGACATTTCTCCTTAGTTATAATTATAGAATTCGTCAAGTCATTTAAACATATTTTTGAATTTCTCCCTAAATGTATGCCATATTGCAGAACCTATCAACCTTATATCAGCTGCACATTGACAGCAATACAAAACAATAATAAAAATTGTTTTGATTAAACCGTAAACGTCATCAATTAAATTTCCTTGTCTGTTGTCGAGTCTGCATTTTGTTGAAACTATAACTTACCTTGTATATTATTATTAGTAATTCCAAGTAGATCCAGCGGCAGTAACACCCTTGTGAACTTATCAAATTTATTCTTGTTCCTCACGTAGTTATTATATTTAGGAAACGAGACAGTCGGGCTGGATGGCTTTTTGTGTTTGTTCAGCTTGCCGTTGGGGTAATATAGCGGGGTCTGTAGCGGCGAATGTAGGAAAGCAGACGTGTCTGGTAGGACCACTCGTTCGGTCGTGTACGTGTCTAGGTTGTACCGGTTGAGTTGAGTCGGCTCAAAGCCGTATATTGACTCTGCTGTTACTATGTCCACGCCGATTACTGGAGGAAGAGTAGAAATTGTATTAAATTGTTTTTTGTTAAATTTATTTAGGTAGATAAACAGCGACACAATACAAGTTTCGTTACTTATAAGTGTGTGTGTAACTGTGTCACCAGCGACACTTACCACAAAGTAGTAAAATAATATTTATAGGGTTTTTATCCTTTTAGAACATAACAGCCGGATATGACATTGTGTTATTATGTGTTTGATAGTAACATTATGGATATTAATCGCAGTCTAATATTAATTTAAATGACAATAAAGATTTTCAAGTAAGAGCTTTTTAAAAGAACTAGGACGCGTTGCTATAAGATCAATAGTACAAAAATGTTTACAAAAACCTACCGTTTACCCTCGATTTGTTAAGCCAATGATTTACTAGTTGGTTTAATGAAATAAAGGATAAATTTTAAGAATAAGCAAAGAAGGCAAAAATGGCTTATTTAGTAGTATAGGTACCTTTTAAATAAATGGACACGTATATTTGCTATGAGAATCATCTGAGAATGTCTCGTTTGCGTAAACACGATGAATAATAAATTGTAAATAAGTAAACATCAATGTCCCTTATTTTCAATGAGTATTGTGTTGGTTGATCCAGAAAAAGTATTGAACGTATCCGCAAATGCGTGCATACGTGTATCCATACGTATTTGTGAGTGTTTAAGACGATTATTTAGTACCAACCTAAGTCGCTAGTGACAATCTCGAAGGGACTGGTGTAGGTGTCGTGTTGGCTCTCAGCCAGCACTGCGATATATTTGTCGAACTTTTGAACCATCAGTTCCATACCGTGACCTGTCAATTCTCTAATACGTGACCATTCCTTCTCATATTGTACATCTAGGATTGTGTTCGCAGATTTAATTACGTTCTGAAACAATTAAGTGAAGTGTGAATGACAACAAATGAAATGAAATTACAGAACGATTATTTACTCGCTCCAAAGTCGTTCATAAATCAGTAAAAGAAACTGCGATATTGCACTCTCTCTCTTTCAATTAGCAGTCGATGAGACGTAAAGTTCATAAAAGCAATCGATACAGTTCGTGTTTAATTTTATTGTTATGTTTATTATTTATTTTATTTTATTGTTATATATATAAACTAAAAGTCATATTGATTCAAAAAAAATCGAGACATTCAAAAATAAGTTTTTCTTTTTTAAATCTAACATAGATTTCTACCGTAACAGTAAGTTTCTTCGTTATAGTTGTTTTTTCTTTGTATATTTTTTATTTTTGAACAGAGAGTTGCTAAAATGATGCTTACCCGCACATAATCCTTGTCCTGACTATGGGTGAGGTTCAAGCCAGCTTGCTGAAGCTCATAGTTGAGCAGTTCCAAGAGTATCCCTTCAACGATCAGAATGTCGGCTCCATATAGATGTTGCGTGTTGCTGCATGCTGTCGTCACGTCCGCCGCTAGACGTACGCCCACGAAGGTATTGACGGAGAGCTCGCCGGATTCAATTTTGCTTAGCTATAAAACAAGTAAGGTCAGTTATATTTTTCCGAATATTTTTTTAATGGTAAAAAGGGGCAAACGAGCAGACGGGTCACCGGATGGTAAGCAACTACCGCCGCCCATGGACACCTGCAACTTAAGTCATAAGTGCGTTGCCGCCCTTGGAGTCCCTCCCGCTCGAGTCAGCGGGAGGGGGGATTTGGGCTCCGGTAACCTCACTCACTCAGTGAAAGGCAACGAAAGAATTGCTTAACACCGGTTTTCTGTGGTATCACTCCGGTCGAGCCGGCCCATTCGTGCCGAAGCATGGCTCTCCCACGGTAAATAATTTTAATAGTTTGTTCGGCATTTATTTTATAGCATTGTTTGTGTTGGTTGATGTTAGTTCATTGTTTTCATTCATAATTTTTATTTTAGGTACTACATTTCTAACAATCACTAGGCTATGCTATCGCACTACCGCTAGTATCTTAGTACAGCAACCTAATATTCATTTTCTTATTCACTCTTCTCCCGATGTTTTTTTTTTAATTTCTGTTGCTCTTTCATTGAACCTAAACAGTGAATTTATAAATAATTGGGGAGACCCAATCATTTATAAATCGAGCCAAAAAATCGAGGTATTTTGATTCAATTAGTTATTTTGGTTCGATTCCCGGGTCGGACCAAATGTTTCTATGATCTGCAAATATTTGTTTCGGAGTTTGGGTGTTTTCTATGTATAATATGTATTTACAATAAAAAAGGAAATAAGTATTCTATCAGTCAATAGCTTTCATAGTACAAGCTCTGCTTAGTTTGAAACTAGATGGCGCTGTGTGTCAGATGTACGAAATATTATTTTTATTATTAACAATCCAGAACCAATAAACCTGTTTTAGAAGTCGGTACATTAATGAAAATTACCTGTTTTCTGAGTTGGTAGAAGGTGGATGAAGTACAGTTGAACATGTCAGGTTCTTGCCACGGTACGACTTGAGATTCATCACACATACGGGTTCCTTTGCCGCTGGTTCCTACAGAAAATTATACATATAAGGAAAATTGATGTTAACTAAATCACAAATTATTGGCATCTAGCAATCGATGGCTTTTTGTAAAAACGCGCTGGCAAGACATAAAATTAGTTACAGGTCGCAAGTATCTGCAAGACAAGTCATTACAGTGATTCTCTTCAATCTGCAGTTCTCGTAACAGGCCATGTCTATCATTTATAAGATTAAAAGACCATACGTTTCTTATAAGAAATAACTCAACAGTAGTAACGGAGTTCAGAAATTATTATTAGACGAAGAAAGGCTTGCCTGTCAGTATGACTTTTAAAATTGGGTGTTATACATTTCTGCATTTTCCTTGGTGATATAATATGAAAAAATCTGACTCTCCCAAAGTTTATTAAGATCTAAAAAATATATCTTAAATTATTTTAATTGTATATATTATAAAGCAGTTAATTTACCTGCAGGACAATCTGTGACAGCTTCAATGCCAAACTTGGTCCGTGGCCACCACACGCCGTGTGAGAAGGAACGAGGACAACCATCGTAGACAACTAATAAAAAAATATTCTGATAATTAAAAACGACTTGCTATCAAGTGGAAGCTGCTTTGAAACCTATTCAGTAAACTACCGTAGTGATCCTATTCAAAGAGCATTTAGTAAACTAAATGTTCTGGAAATAGGAAGTGGAAGCGTGATACTACAGTCATCAAGTCCACCTTGCTGAATACCTCTACAGAGATCCACCTGTCTTTAGACAGTGCCTCCGGTAGCCTGAACATTATTTAACCGGTAATATTATGTGCCGTTATACGTTCATTATAATTCTAAATATTTGTACTCAAAGTTTTGTGACAATATTCAGCCTCATAAAAACACTTTGTTTAAAGTTGTCTTGTTGTCATAATTATTTATAGTATTTTAATACTCCGACACACCCCTGACAACATTTATGGAAAATTTTACTTTAACGTTGTATTGAAAAGAAAATAAGGTAATCATCATACAGTAAAAAATACGATCAAAGGTGACAAAATCTAAAATAATGCGAAGGATGCCGAGATCAAAGGGTAGAAAAGTATTTAAAAAAATGTAAGTACCTTCACAGCCAGTATTAGGAGCGACCTCAGCGTACAAGTTGGCGCAAGAGTCGCAGGCGCGGCCGATGACCCCGTCCCTACAGTGGCACTGACCCACCGAGCTCTCGCACGAACTGTTTAGCGAACCTGCTGCGTAGCATTGGCACGGGAGACAATCGTCTGAACCTTCGGGTTTGTAGTGGTTTTCCTGTCGATTACATTACAATAATTAGTACATAAGACACATACTAGTTAGAGTTTTTTAAATACAAAATGTCTTTTATATTTGGAGTTATCGTGAAATGTAAAGACGAACACATGACGTATGAGCGCATGAAGTCCTTTCTAAGGGTCATAGGCTTAGAACATGTTACCTTGCAATGACAATGGCCTGTGGTAGCGTGGCAATGTGGATGATATCCCCTGGTGGCATCGCAGTCACAAGGTCCGCACGCCCCACTGGATCCTCCCCACCATCCTCCTGGACACTCTTGAGCTACGGCTTCTACACAGCCAGATGCTGTAACAATAGTTTAAGATGTTATATTTAACATTATTAACCTGAGATGCATTTCTTACATTATTTACATATTATTTTTAAGGTATAATATTAATGTTGTATTTTTGCATGTTTATATTTAAAGAGAATACAGACTATGTTCAATTTATAGGAAAACTTCGCGAACTGAGAAAAGTTATATACTTGTAACATTTAAATTGTAAAATCTAAGTAAAATTATCTTTATTCATCCCGTGGGTATCGTAATAGCTTACTAAAAGAGCAAACTACGCAATGAAATAAATTTCATTTCATTTCAAAGATTCACTATATACGTTTTATCTGCAGCATATAAGTATATTATTTCACATTATCATCACATCACATCAATAGCCTTTAATAGTCCACTGCTGGACAGAGGCCTCTCCTGAGGAGGAGGTTCTGGCCTACTATACCACGCTGACCAGACAGGTTGGCATAGGGTTTGTGTCAAGTTTTCCTTCTCTTTGCAGTGCTGTTGTCCTGCGTAGTTTGCTCCTTTAGTCGGCTCTTACGACACCCACCGGATGGATAGGGGTGGTGACACTCTGTATTCTTAATTATTTGACTATATAAAATGAATAATTATATGTACTCGTGTCTGTGCTTGTATTTGTATGGCATTGAGAACCTTTAAATGATTTTCAATATATGCATCTATAAAATTTGTTTTATATGTCATCGAAATCTCCATGGTGACTCACCGGTAAGCATGTACCCTTCGTCACAGTGACAGCGGTAGCCCCTGTCGGAGTCGTGGTGCACGCACGTGGCGTGTTCCCCGCAGGGCCGCAGGTCGCAGGCGCGCACGCACTGCGGCCCCACGCGCCCGCGCTCGCACGCACACTCGGTGTTGTCCCACGATGTCACGCACGTGCTCTGGAAGTCATCAGCAAGTCATCACGTGGGCCATCACTGTTCATCATTTGTTTTTAATCGCTCTTTTGTTGTAAGATATCATAATTTTGTTACCTTAATTTATATACAAATAGGTAAATATTTAACTTTGTCTAGTCGATGATCTTTTAGGCCTTCTTTTGGTATCAGTATCTATCAGGTTTATCTCTTTTTTTTAAATGTTTAAAGTTTCTTTTTCACTGATAACGGATACAACGTAAAATTAAAACACTTTAAAATGTGTTATTACATCACACTAATATTTTAAAGTTTGTGAGTGTGTATTTGTTATTTTTTCATGCTTAAACGCCTGGACCAATTTTAATAAAAGTTGGTATGAAGGTAGCTCGACAACCTAGATTAACACATAGACTATTTTGCGACCCAAAAAATGTAGTGTTTCCGTGTGACAAACCGCAGACAACACCGCAGATCGCAGCTAATTAGCAATATAATGCAAAAAACATTTGTAAAAGTAAAGAAGCTATAAACTGGGAAAAGCGATAAAAAAATTAAGTACTACATGTATACTAATGAATCTAATATAACAACTTACGTATGGTGGACAGATGGAGAGCATGCAGTCGGCCCTCGATTGACATCCGTCTCTGACATTTTCTCTCACAGTAGGCCGATTGAGCAGAGACTGAGCAGAACCCACCCTCACATCCTGCACAGATAATTAAATGAAATGTTATTAAAAACATCGTACAGACCCGACCGTCAAAATTTGGACCGTGGAAAAATTCGAATGCATTTATTATAAGTAGATTTGAAATAATTTATAATGCTGTACTTTGTAAGTACAGAATTCCCGAGAAACAATAACATTGATATATGTTTAACTCATTCTTGAGAGAAAATGTAACGTATATGAGTATTTCAAACAACCCTCACCTGAATACACCCCTCGAAGTAACCAACTTCAGAGGCCAACAGTCCAGCTGTGGTGTCAGGCCCCCCAATCAGAATCTTCCCAATATATTGGCCCTGTATCTTATTAGCCAGCATGGGCAGTAGCGAGGTCCGGAGGCCATAGTCCACGCTTACAGATATATCTGTGCCTAGCCATTTGATCTCTATTCGATGCCAATCACCATCGAAGAGTGTGGTCGTTGGAAGAAACATGGATTCTCCGTTGTAAGCGTAGTGGAGGTTGCCGGATTTTAACTGAAAGAAATCGTGTAGTAATAAGGGTATGATAATGGTTAAGTATCTAAAGAAATACTTCCTAGGTTACGTGGTAGAATTTAACAGTAGACAGTAGGCAATTAATACTCTAATATTAAGGTAAATAAAAGTATAAAAAATATTTAGTTGACAAGTGTTGTGTTTTAGGGAGGATATGATAATGTCAAAATAATAGTTTTTTATGCTCACACAGTTATTTGAACGACACCTATGCCTAGAAACCAGTTTAAATAATTTTTGTTTGTCTGTCTGTCTGTCTGTTTGTTACTGGTAATCTTCAAAACGGCTGGACCAATTTTAATAATATTTTACTACCCATATTTATATGGAGTAACTTAGCCTATTTTTCCTGTCAGAAAAAACCCTGTAAAGAAATTGAACCCGACGCCTCATGGACTGCAGTAGGGTACCGTACTACACCACTAAGGCAGCGCTTTTCAAATTCGAACGAAGTCGCAGATACCAGTTAGTCAACAATGAAATTGATTCATCACGGTTTACTGTACCTTACAGAGCTTAAAAGGTGCTTGACTAATGGTTTAATAAGAGCAATTTTGTTTCTCATTCACTATTAAAATACCAGTAAAACTTTTTTCCCAACTACCAGACAGTTGGAAAAAAATCTGTGAAACAGTAAGTAAACAAATAAATCCTCAATACTTACAGTTATCAGTATAGTGCTGTTCTGTCCGACTTGTATCGACATGATGAAAGCATCCTGGACCCTTGTTCGCAGGGAAAAAGCGTTAAGCCATGGCAGTTGTATGGGCCGGAGTAGAGGGTTGAACGAGAGCATACCATCGCCGCTGAATCGCCAAGGTGGAGCAATTGCTATAGATAAAAAAGTTATTATATACAGGTTCTGCCTAGTTTGGGTTCAGACGGCCGTATGTGAGATGTGTGAGATATTATAATAATAACTTCATAAATGTATGCTTTTTAAATTTGAGAGGAACATTTCTCACAAAATTACTTATCGTTGTATTAAGTAGATTATAAGGTCTAGGGATGTTCAGCACAATACAAGCAGTAAAAGAATTACTTCAAAGGTGAGAATAAATTTGGAAAGTTTAGCACAGTTGGACGACTAATGCTGGTCACTGGCCTTTAAGACTTTATATTTGCATAGTGGGACAATTATTGCTATTTACCTAAGGTTATTGGCTCTTAGAATTGACGATTATTTCCCTATTTCAATGGCCCTTCGGACTTGTAACTAACACAATTTTGTAAGGAAAAAGGAAAAAAAAACTTACAATCAGCGCAGTCTTTCCCAGTATACCCTTCGGTACAATCACATAGATAGGTATCCCATAGGTTTCTGCATTCAGCTCCATTATAACAAGGCGCGGTACTACACCGGGACCGTTTCTCTGGACATCCAGCCAATGTCCCATTGTCTGACACGTAAGAGTTCAAGTCAACAAACTTGTGGTCGATGTGCAAGTCTGATATGCAACCGATGAAGTCTTTGTTTTTGACTTGGAAGCTACTTGGAATGTTTGGGAGACCGCCGATTTGAAGAGGCCCCGTGAGGTCAAGAAATCTGAAAGTAGAAAGTTTATTAATTAATTTTGATAAAATAAGGACTCGCAATAGAAATAGATTGAGATAACCCGAAACGTATTGCTTTAATATATTCACAAATTTCGCTAGTTATTTAATTATGATAATTATTGAGGGTAAAAATACTTTAGTACACCATACACCACAAATGTTTATATTATGTATGTTATAATGTCTTTGTTTCACATTTTATAATGAACGTAAAAATACAATTTACGATTATTTAATTAAATTACCGACAAATTAGTGTTTCGAATGAAGTATCCGTCGCTATGTACGGCAAAGGAAATTCTTGGTCAGTACTGCGAATTACCTGTGATTTTAAGGAACTACTACTACTAGAGAAATCGAAACTAATAAAACAGAATAGTTTTAAAACAATAATTGCAAATTTATAATCACTTATACATTTAGTAGCGAGTTATTCACAATTCACAGACATGTAAACGTAAACTTACCGGAATAACATATGCATTCAACATGACCAGATATTTTGTTTGCCGTGTATACACCGCTTTGTCGCCAGTGATTATTTTGTTTTAAGTTCACCTTTTGTTGTAGTAAATATATGTACAAGCGTTAGGATGTTATGGCGCATACTAAGAGTATTTCATGGTGAGCCAATGTGAATATAATAGTCATTAGAAGCAAGACGAGGTCGATAAGCGAATCACAATAATGACATCAATCCGTACGTAAGGAATGAAATTATAGCTATTTAAGTGTGTTTAGTTTTGTACAGTATTAAGTATTTAAAGTTATATGAAGGACATTAAAGAGAATGAATCATTACCTGTGACAGGTTTCCGTGGGTATATCGCAGCGCGGTGGCAGAACCTTGGAGCTGTAGTTAGCGCATGCGTACTTAGTGCCGAACTCCGCGGCGCCCGCCAACGATAACGCCTTGTCGCAGTCGTCTAGTATCAATGTTGCGGTCTGTGAAATATAATCGTTACTTTGAATGTGTAATACTTAATGCTATACTTAATATTATTCAGCTAAAGATTTTTTTTTGTTTGTTTGGTCGAACGCGCTAATCTCAGAAACTGCTGGTTCGAATTGAAAAATTATTTTAGTGTTGAACAGTTAATTTATGACGCATTTATGTATGAGGTAGGGTCACACACAATTAGCGTTGTTTCAATACTTCCGTACGTTACGGTACGTTCCATACTAAGAGGTTGTGTAAGTCGGTTCACAGTTTTAGGATATCTTGGTGTCTTGTTACCATTGTACACGGACTTAAAAAAAGACCTCTGTGGTTTGTTTCGGTGTTTCTTCCCAGAGTAAGTCTTAGAAAATAGCTGCGACTTTTTGCTGTAAAGATTTGAAATATCTAAAAAGATTTACTTGCAGAAATAAATATCATTTTGACATTTTTTATGTTGAATTTCTTACCCTATTGTAGTACTCTATGTCAACAGTATGCCAATTCCCATCAGCCACGTTTCCAGCGACAGTGACGTCAACCTTGTTGCCCCCCAAAGCAAAAGTGAACCTCAGGCCAGCTCCTGACTCTCTCCCCGCACCGGTGCTGATGGTCTCCAGAGCTAGGAAGTCGTGCCTTTCATTATACCGACCGTTGTACAGGAGCAAGCCGTTTGGAGTTATGGTTGAGAATCTGTGTGGAAAAAAGAGAAGGTTAATTGTTTTAATATATTTTTTTATGCTGGATTTCCTTCCTAGGGTACACCTGGTTCCCCGGCTACGGGTACCCGAGACGGCGTGCGGTTTTTGGTCGGTTCATGCCCGACATAACCACTGGTGGGTGGTATCCGAGAGGATTTCCGAACAGACAAAAAGCAGTAAATAAGTGCAACTTCACTTCACCGTGATCTTCTGTACAGTGGATGTGCTTCTTCAGTACCCAAATTGAATTTCAATAGCAGGTGTTTTTTTTTGTGGAGGAGCAGACGAGTCACTTGATTTAATGTGACTATCGCCGCCCATGAACATCTGCAACTTAGAAGTAACAAACATGTTGCCGGCCTTTAGGAGGGAGTACGCTATTTCCTTGAAGGTCTGAAGGTCGTATCGGTCCAGAAATACCGCAGACGGCAACTTGATCCACACATTGGTTGTGCGAGACAAAAAGTGACACTCAGTAGTGAAGCCAAAGATGAAAATTTTGCCTATTTTTTTTTAAATATAATTACTGCCATATTTTTAAATATAAATATGAATTTATTTAATGAACCACGTAGATATATTGGACAGTAGCAGCAGTCATACATATAAATACAGCAAGATTTTATCAGATTGTTCGGAGAATCAATAAAATATAAATTAATATTTAAATGTGCTCACTTTAGTTTCAAATGCAGTCTATTCCTCCTCTTCAATCCAGGAAATGTCAAGAACGATGAGGCGGGGAAGCTCCTAGTTCTCAGTTCACACAGGGCCGTGGTGTGCTCAGCGTCCAGCGCACAGGGCTGGCACAGCAGCCCGCCCTCGCGCGACGACACGCACTGCGACCCGCCGCGGCACACCGCAGACGCCATGGAGCAAGTCGCTGACTTCAGTTGAGTTTCGCAATTTACACCTGGTTAAGAAAGTCAGTGATTAAAAATAAATTTATTGTATTGTGTTGAAAAGGTTGCTCTGTTGGGAAAGATTTTTTTTAAATTTAATGATTTGACAAAGAAGTCACTGCTTGATCATACGCATTTCTACAGCATCCACAGTTTTGAGGTGGAAAAAAGGGAAATGACTTCTGCTTAACAGTTAACTACCGAATCACTCTTCAACTTTTGATTATTACACAACTACTTATTAAACTTTATAATATTTAATAAACTTTTATTTACATGTATTAACTATAAGGTACAATACCGTTGTATGTTTTATGTTACAAGATACTAACTTAGAAGTAGTGCCTTTGTAAAACATGTATTTTTATATTAAGTTACACTAGCGCATTAGGATAATGGTGACGGATTAAGAATACGAAGAATACTCGAAGGAAAACTTGAAACAAACCCTTTTTTTTTTTTTTTAACGTGTGGAAATCCCCTCGGACCGTCACCCCTCCGGGGTTTGCGGCGGGGTGGTGTGTCGGACTCGGACCGACTAAAACCACACGGTGTGCCACTCTGCGCCTGTAATAGGAGGGATCCGGAAACAGCTGTTGTTAAGACATCCGGACCCCTCCTAGCGCCCGCCCGCTCCTGTTGCGGGCCCCGTCTCAAAATTATCCTCTCTTTAGGCGACGTCCGGCACACGCGGACGCCGCCCCCTCGCGGCTGGCCAAACTAATGCGGGTGGTGGGGAAACCTACCCCGTCCACCCGCGGCCACACTCAGGGCGGCATGAGGCGGTGATAGGCGCGCCTCCGCCGCCCGGTTCGCCGGCGGCGGATCGGGTCCGAGTGGAGGTCGTCCTCCCGGGCCTTCTCCGCCGCCTCCTTCTGCGAGATTACTTCCTCGCAGAAGGTTGCGACCGCGGTAAAACAACTGTCGCTACCGGCCATGGAGCGTACTACGGCCGGTAGCGAGAGATCCACTCTGATGACTGCAGTGAGGGCCCGGCGCTGCGTCGCCCATGCGGGGCAGACCGCTAGCGTGTGCTGGGCCGAGTCCTCACTGCAGTTGCAGTGGTGGCAGGCGGGACTCAGTTCCCTCCTAGCAACCGAGTGCAGGTACTTTCCGAAGCAACCGTGCCCGGAAAGCACCTGCGTCAGCCGGAAGGAAAGGGTCCCGTGCTGCCGCCCTGCCCACTCGGCGATTGACCGGCTGGAGAGCCTCCACGGCGGCGAAGCCAGCGCGTGGAGTCTCCAGCCGGAACGACCAACGAGCCATCGTGGCTCGGCGAGAGGCTTCGCGCCACTCGCGCACATCCTCGTCGAAGAGCCACCTCCCGTCGAGGATCAGGCCCAGATATTTCATCTGGGCCCGAACCGGTACGAGGACCGAGTTGACCACGATTGAGGCGCCAGGGGGTGGACCACGACGGGGCCCATGAAATAACAGGGCCTCCGTCTTATCTAGGGCCACCCGTAAGCCCAGCGCCTCAATGCGCCCGACCACCAGGGAGACTCCCCTTGTGGCCAGGCGCGCCGCCTCTTGGAAATTTGCCCCCCGGGCTGTCACCAGGGTATCGTCTGCGTAACAGATTACACCCAGCCCGGGGGGGAAAACGGCGCGAAGGGCCATGTTCTATCCATCTATGTTCCACAAGAGGGGTCCAAGAACAGACCCCTGTGGAACACCGCACGACATGGGCCGACACCTCAAATTACCCTCTCGGTCCTCGTACACGACGGTACGCTCCTCTAAATAGTCTGCCACTATCCGCCTCAGGTACTTTGGCACCCCATGATAGTGGAGTGCTTCCCTGATGCAGCTGAATGGCAGACTATTGAATGCGTTGGCGATGTCTAATGACACCGCCAACAGCACGCCGCCACAGCTCACGGCCTCTTCGGTCACGGCCCTCAGGCGCAACACGGCGTCGACTGTCGAACGCCCCGCCCGAAAACGAAATTGGGCGTCCGACAGATCGGGGCCCACCTCGTAGAGGTGCCGGACGATGCGGGCAGAAAGAACCCTCTCAAACAATTTACCCGCCTCGTCCAGCAGCACGATGGGCCTATAGGCCGCGACCGAATCGGCAGGCCGTCCCGGCTTCCTTAATAGGACCAGCTTCCCGCTCTTCCAGCACTCAGGGAAACGTCCCGACGCCAAGCTAGCGTCGAACACCTCCCCGAGGCGGTCTGCCATGTAGTTGAGGGACAGGGCCAGCACTCGGGCCGGTACCCCGTCTGGCCCAGGGGCGGTGTTCTTGGAACGGATCCGTAGAACAGCCGCCCCTACCTCCGAATCCCGGACGGGCGGAACATCATCCTCCTCGTGCTCCCCGTCGTCTCCGGCCCAACCCTATCCCAACCCGTCTGGCCAGCGTGGTAGTGTAGGCCTAAACCTCCTAAGGAGAGCTCTATGTCTAGCAGTGGACTATTAAAAGCTGTTGATGATTAGGATAATAAATAAAATATTACAGTACTATTAGTACACAAAAATCCATCTAGTTTCAAACTAATCAGAGCTTGTACTATGAAAGCTAGATTGGCTGATAGAATACGTATATACATATTTTTTGTTAATATATGCATGTTATACATAAAAAGCACCCAAACTCTGAAACAAACAGGAATCGAACCCGAGACATCAGCACAGCAGTCGCATACCTACTGCACCAACGAGGTGGATGAGATTGCACGAAAACCATAAAAGACTTCAGTAACTTCTAGGCCGTCATCTTAAACAAGTCTATGTGACCATTACCTGTATATCCAGCTGGGCACACGCAACTGTAGCCGCCTTCACGTCGGATACAAGTTCCATTGTTGACGCAAGGTGACGAGTAACACAGATCCACTTCAGTATCACACATATAATGTTCTCGAGATCCTGTCAAAAAAATAATCAACTACTTTCATGTTGATCATCTTAAAATTCTTGCTTTAGAAAGTAATTTTAATATTTATAATAGTCGTGTCGTTACAGATGTTAGTAGAGCAAATAATGTTTTTTTTTATGCTAGCAAATATATTGAAATGATCTAGTTGTAATGAATTATAATAATATTTTTTATTATTGTTCTATTTCAAAATAAATATTAAACCTTTGTTCTTTTTCCTATTGTTTTTTTTAAATTGCCTTACCCGTGAAGCCGTGTGGGCACTGACAAGTGAAAGTGGTGACAGGGTATATCGGTCGGAAGAGTACAGAGTCACTGTTGATGAACCCAGAAGCGTTGCCAAACTTCAGCACCGTGAGACATTCTTCGTAATTCAGACATGGTTCGTGTACGCAAATGTTATCGTCGAAAGGTAGCACCTGAAACAAAGTAAACCAGAGATTGTAATAAAACGAAGTGGCGATAGCGAAATAACTAAAAATTCGGTTTTGGGTTCGAGTAGCAGCAATAGTTCGAATTTCTCTAAGAGCACCATCACCCGAATCCCCCGTGAAACGTCATTAACAAAGAGATAATTATAAAATAAAAATAATGTGTAATCCATGCTACTATTATTTTTTTAAATAGCAAGGTTTAACTTTCATAGTTTGAAAGTTAAACTACTACTTACTACTTACTAGTAAAATATAGTACAAACCTGCACAGTAGCTAGCCTGGCCAACGTGGCTCGATGGAGGTACACTCGCTCACGCAAGTGCGTTGGCGAGTAGTACTGCGATGTGTCTCCTGCCACCCCTACTTCCGGCTCCGGGCGTCGCGCTGAGAACGACACGTTCAGTATGTTGCCAGTGACGTCGGTGTCATCCTAACCATACAATTTAGGTGGTTAAGTTTTAATTACACAAGTATTAGTTATAGCAAAATTAATTTTTAGTGTCGAAAAGCGGCTAAATTCCTACAAAAGGAAGTGATATGTACGGATGAAATCTCAGCCCTGTCGAGCGCTAGGTAGCAAGAACACTATCTAGAAAGGAGGGGGTGGACTAATTAACAATAATGCTTGAGTGACACTGTTGTTTTAAAAAATTAAATCTTAAGGGAAAATATTTTATAAAGTAGTTTAGTAGGTAGTTTTTATAACTAGTTATATGGAAAATGAGAATAACCTCGTATTCTGAATTCACTTACTAAGAGTTCACTTGCTAAATTTTTTTTTAAAGCTTTACCACGTACCTGTACACTAAATACATAAATATTTTCTTTTGGACAAGGTATAATAGCCGCTAGCCCGTCTACGAAGAAGCCGAATAACGGTGACAGGAAATGTTCCGCAGTCATGTCGTTCAATCTGACAGTTATAGAGTTGAACAACATCTCTTCGGTGATCAGCCGAACGGAAAGCTGCATCATCGACTTTATTTCGTTAACTCCATCTATCGAAAAAATTAAAGTTTATGTAACATTATATAATAAAGTAAGTTCATTTGTCCTTTCACGCCCGATCTACTCAAGTCTCATAATGTAATTTTGCGCACATTTTATGAGCGGTGTTGTGACTTCCACATATGATTAAAAAAAAAACAGTGCCATCTGACGCAGACACGTTGAACTACGAAGTAACTGCAAATCCTGTATCGCTATATGAAGAATTCTCACGCCGATTAGCACAAATATAACTTCCCAACATCAACCGTTGGGCCAGGCATGATAACCTCGCCTGGACGGAGGATCCTCCCTTAGTTTTGGAGGGATATGATACCCGGAGCGGGTATACGAAAAGGGAAAATTCTTCACCAACACAAATTACTTTACAAATTCCTTTCACACAAATAAGTAGTATTCAAGCAGAATTCACAAAATCACGTTAAAGATTTTAGTATATTACCTGAAACAGATATCTCCATGGTAGCCAGTTTGGGTACGTTGGTGTTCAGTTGTGGTGACAATGTCATCTCGCCCGATGTTTCGTTTAATAGAACTAAGTTCGCGTTGTTGCCAGATAGCACACGGTATTGTAACTGTTGAATAAGATATTTCGTTCTTAATTTTCTATTTGTTTAGGTAATTTTTTTGTACTCAAAATCCATTTTTTGACTTAAGAGTTAAAGTTAAAAATGTTAAAGTTGGTAATTCAATAGCAAATAGTATAATTTACTAATAAGTAATAAGTTTACATTAACCCACACTAGGCAGAGACTGTAATATGCTAAGTATCGTTTAATTTGGCAATGTAATTAAATTTTTTTATTACTCAAGCCTGTAAGACTTGCCTGTACCTGGTCAAAAAATAATAGTATTTTTACCTTGTCCGTGACGTCAGCGTCGTACGCCGGCACTCTTCCAAACGGTCCAACAGGAAAACAGTCCTTATAATTATTGAAGATGATCTGAAAGTCCTTCATCATGGGTGCGTTATCGTTCACATCAGTCACCATTATCTCTACTCTAACGTCATTCCATAACGGCGGACTGGCTGCTCTGATAATTAGCTCGTATTTCTTTCTGGGACTTTCGTAGTCAAGGTCAACCATGGTCACGAGTTCGGCCTTATCAGAGCCTTGACGAGTTTCGAGTGAAAAACTGTTCGAGTCGTCTCCACCTGGAAATAAGAAATACACATGTACAAAATACAAATAAGTAATAAATTGAGCCAAACTAAAAGTGTGCTAACAAAATAGTTAAGTGACTAACATTTTTGTAGGATCAACTAATTCAAAAAACTTTTCAAAAGAAGTTTTTTTGAATTAGTTTAGTTTGTGTTTACTAGATGGCGCTGTAAGTTTGCAAATTACAAGTAATTGCAGTATACTGTACTAAAACATTTATTAAAATCTAATTGTAATAATAACAAGAACCATTTGACAGTTTCCCAGAACAGGGCCATACTTTGGCACGCACATGTCGGTTACCACGGCACGGTAAATCCCCTGTGGAATCCCCTCGGACCGTCACCCCTCCGGGGTTTGCGGCGGGGTGGTGTGTCGGACTCGGACCGACTAAAACCACACGGTGTGCCACTCCTGTACCGCAACCCCAAACCCCCTCTCCTAGAGTTAGAGGTAGGGGAGTGACTCAAGGTTTGTGTAACAGACTGCTACGCCAAAGATCGCGGGTTCGTTTACCGTTCGAGTCAAAGTGAGTCAGAGTGTTTGATTTGGTCTGGGTGTCCCTATGATATGTATGTATTTACAAAAAACAAGTATAAATGGTTTTTTTTAAAGATTACTCCCGCACTAAGAATATATCCTGTGTCGCGGGTTACTTTTTTTAACATACATGAAACGGACACAACAAATATGTGTCAACACGTCCCATGTGGGGATCGAACCCACAACACTCAGCGTAGTAGGGAGCGGCGTGGCGACCGCTTAAACCACTACGACATTCGTGCAGATAATCTGTGCAGTCATCAGTTGTCTAGTACCCATAGTAGAAGCTCTGCTCAGTTAGGGACTAGATGGCGTTGTGTGAATGTGGTAGAATATTTTATTATTATTACACTCTGTGACTCTTGAGTTGCAGATAGATAGATGTAGATAGTCACTTACCTACAGGTGACCTGTTTGCCCGCTTGCATAGCATATAAACACAGCATACATTATAGCATAAAAAAACAGTTCATAGCAGCGATGTTACCTTTGATGGAGTAATGAACGACAGCGTTGGGTCCTTCGTCAGGATCATGTGCATATATTTCCCCCACTGTAGTGCCAATAGGACTGTTCTCAGAGATGTAGAACGTTAGGCAGTCGCTCTCGAACACTGGCGGTGAATCATTGATATCTTCCACTTTTATGTGGACTATCACCTGGAGATTTAATAACATGATGTATTCAGCTACTTTCAAGAACCGTAAACCATATGAACTTAATTCAATATTCACATTGCATGTATAAACTATTCAAAAAGTTGACTTGTAAACGATAAAATTTGCTGGATAATACCAGTAACTTTTATTTGAACATGAGTTTGTTAAAATTAATTGTAATTTTGTTTACTTCCACAAGCTATATGTGTGTAAATCCTCACAAAGATTTTCCTTGTAGGAGTGCCATTTTTATTTGCAGGAACTAATTGGTGAAAAATAAAAGTGCCCGTGCATTGTAAACTACTTGGATTTTACTAATCATCGGTTTTTTTTAATAAAAATATTTATTAAAGATACTGTGGATGAAAAATGCTCACAGTTGAGCTCAGCGCCGGAGTCCCACCATCGATCGCAAGCGCCTTCAGGTCATACGTGGCAACCGACTCTCTATCCAATGCCTTGTTAGTCCTAATGACCCCAGAAGCGGGGTCAACGACAAACGAGCCTTCTTCACGGTCCCTGGGGTCTAACTCATAGTGCACGCGACCGTTGAGGCCCACGTCGGCGTCGGTCGCACTCACTTGAGTTACTGAAGTACCTATAGGACAGAAACACCGTGGAATAAGCAATGTGGTTGTAACTATGATACGTGTTAGTGTGTGTGCGATTGTGATACAGTTGTTCCTCTTTAAGTAAAACAGATTCCTAGTATTTTGCCATATTTTCTCACGGTTTAAACTTTCTTTGGACTTCTACAATGATTAAAATTAGCTAAATCGGTACAGCCGTCTTAGAGTTTTAGCGGACTATCGAACAGCGAATCATTTTTATACCTATATACATAGATAACAAGTAGACTTGCTCGCAAAACTGAAATTAAAAACTCAACTGTCTAGCTTTTAATCACGTGTAAAAACTGTGTTAAACCTCCATTCTAAGGAGAGGCCTATGTCCAGCAGTGGACTAGTAAAGACAATTGTTGATGATGATGATGATGAAAAACTGTGATGACTTACCAACTAAAGCATCTTCCACAATGTTTGCAGTATAGAGTTGTTGTTTAAACACGGGTGCATTGTCGTTTACATCCACTACTGATATCTCCACATCAGTCGTGTCCGAGAGTGAGGGCACTCCGCCGTCCCGAGCCGTTACAGTCAGCAGGTATCCTAAAAATAATTCAAGACCATTATAACGGGTAAGCCAGATAAGCGGTGCGGGCAACACAGGACCGGTTGTTGTTGTGAACCTTGGGGGGGGGGGGGGGGGGGGTTGTCAGTAGACGCCTTTCAATTGACAATAGGAAAAAGAGTTGGTAAGCATATGTAATTATGTATGTACTTGTACATTTTACTACGGCATGCTACTTCGCCTAGGCGAAGCAAAACTGAACATTTAGGTTATGATATTCTGGGAAATACATGTATTCTGTTTTAAGCTCGAAATATTCTTGTGTCACGTAGGAACGTCTTGTTTAAAGTCGTATAAAATGGAAATTGTAAATTTTATTCATGGATCATTGGATGGATGAATATTCTGATATTCGCGCAGCATATTTTTATAGTGCTGGTTCTAGTCAAAGAGAAATGAATACATCACTTTAACACCGAGTTTATCAGATTTCTTCAAATGTTTTATTAAAACTGTTAAAGCTATGTTTTTCGAAAAGATTCTATGTTCACTTCTAAATATTAGTAAAGTTACAATGTAAGAATTTTTTAAATTATTAAATAGATAAATTACGCAAAATTTACGATATAAGGAGAACTATAAAAAAAAGCCAAAAAGACTAAATTCTGCTATATTGAAGTTATCTAAATTTACGGACGCATTTGTGGAGATAAATTTAAGCGAGCGTCTAAATTACAAATAAGAAATGAACAGATAGAAAATGTGGTGTAATTTAAAAACAATCACGTTTCACTAAAAGAGATTTGTCTATAAAATAAAGTCACTTGTACTTCAATATTATCTTTATTTTTTATGGTATAGCTGAGCAAAAGAGCGGAAAAATCGCCTAATGGTAAGCGACGCACACCTGCAATTCAAAAATCGCAAATTCGTTGCCGGCTTTTGAGTCATCTGCTCAGAATCAGAGAAAGGAGTGGTTTGGGCACCGGTAACCTGACTCGCTCGGTGAAGAGCAACTAAAGAAAGGCTAAACACCGGTTTTCTGTGAGGTCCAGGTTTCACTCCGGTCGAGCCGCCCCGTTCGTGCCTAAGCATGCCTTTCCACGTTAATTTCACGAAGAAACATTAAACTACCAACTTCTAATCCTGCATCGCACGTAAAAGTTCTCCTAGTCGGAAAATCTTTCTTTAGTGTTGAAGAGACATAACCTTCATCTGAACACGTAATTATAAAAATCATGATTCTAAGTACGAGGCAGTTCGTGTAATGACGGATTAAGAATACGAAGTGTCACCACCCCTATTCATCCCGTGGGTGTCGTAAGATCCAACTAAGGGAGCAAACTAGGACAGGGACAACAGGGACTAGGGACAACAGCACTGCCAAGAGAAGGAAAACTGGTATAGTGGGGCAAAAACTCCTTTCTAAGGAGAAGGCATATGTCCAGCAGAGGATTATGAAAGGCTGTTGATGAGCTGTACGAGGTTATTAAAGTTCACTAAAGTTTGACAATCTTAAGGAGAATATTCAGATATTAAAATTTCTTAGGATAAGTAAATACTAACCACTCATAGTCTCTCTATCCAATAATTTGTTAGTAGTGATAGCTCCAGTCTGAGGGTTGATGACAAACTCCTGTTCGTGGTGCGTGACCGCCTCATTAGATATCTCAGAGCTGAGGCTGTACGTGATCTGGGCGTTCACTCCCACATCGCTATCTGTGGCTGATACAACTAGGACCGTTGTTCCCGCTGGAGCATCTTCAAATACCTGTGAGAATGAGGCTCATTACTTTTATATTCTATGGTACCCTATTAATGGAGGGATAGCTAGAAATGCTTATGATGGCAGAAAAAAAAGCAATTTAATTTAACAAATAAAGACAAATTGATGATTTTTATTTAGTGTTAATAGTTTAAAATTGTGTTAAATGATCTTCGAAGAAGATTTTTTTTGAAGTTTTTTGAGAAGTATATATTTTTAAAGATAAATTGTTTTAATGGTAAATAAAATTCAACTTTCGAATAAATTCAATTTAGGGTTTTCTATACAGTTACCGTGGTTTATTAAAATGAACTTTAAAGAATTAAAAAGAACGAATTGAAAATTAACCTATCCACGTTTAGAAACGTGTTAAAATTTTTGTAAAAAAGTTTGCTTTTTCTATACTGTATTAAAAAAAATTAAACAAATATTGCAACTTCAACAACCTAGTAGGTATACTATATAACTGTAAAGAAAATAAAATTAACTTTCCAAAAACTATTTATTAACAAAAAATATTAAAAGTAATTATAGACTATATCTTAAAAGTTAGACGTAATTAATAATTTTATTGCTAACTTACACAAAAACTACACTATTTTTGAAGTTACTAATTTTAGCATATAATTTCACTAGTCACGCTTATCATTTGAACTCTTACACTTTTGTCGAATTCCTTAAAAACCGTTGGTATTAAGACATTTATTACCAACATTTTTCAAGCAAATCACTAATTCTATTAAGACACTCTTTATCTAAACGTCCTAGTAAATATAGTCGACATTAGCATAGCAGTTAAATCCAATACAACATTAGCATCACTTACCGAAGCTGTATACGGTGCGTTTTCGAACACCGGCGCATAATTGTTGGCATCAGTGATATTAATATGCACCATAGCTGTATCTGACCTTCCACCGCTGTCAGTTGCTGTGACCGTCAGGACATATCGACGTTCTTGTTTGAAGTCCAACGGCTGAGCGACTGTGATCAGGCCTCTGCCGTTTTGTGACGTGATAGAGAATCGACCTCGAGTGTTGCCACCTGATATCTCGTAGTGCAATCTGGGAGAAAGTTGAACTTATAAATGCTGTTACTTAAATGGTTTTAAATGCGTGCATTTGTATCCTTTTTTATCTTTAAGTTGATGAAAGTATTAACATACATTTTATGAGTAAGATAGGTTATAGCTTCCATAGATTATTGGACACGGAAGTAGATTTATAGTTTGTACGATCTTTGAAATTTAACCGTCTTTTGGACAAAAAATACGCATCCTCGTAAGACACAATTCTGCACTAATCAGCTTTCAATTTATTTCGAAGACACGGCTGCACTTCGGCTTTTTACGTGGAGCGACTGCAATCAGACCTCCACAATCCAAGTACTAGGCGATATCGAAGTTCTGTAGATATACTGTTGTCGAACTTTTTAGGGAATACCCGTAACGATTGCCACAGATGTTCGTATGGCATCCGGGACCGACGGCTTAAGGTACTCTCCGAGGCCAATGCCTCAATGTGTTAATAATGGTCACCCATCCAGAGACTGACCTCGTTAGGATTGCTTAACTTTGCAATGTGCTAACCTATTCGGTTTCCACTTAGCGACGAGCCCCAAAATGCTGCATAAAAATTCTGCTTAAAGATAATGACTGGTTTAAAAAGTAAAAACAGTATGTATCAGATTGGCACAAAATAGGTTTATCCTCATACCTGTTATCCTCATCAGCGTCAGTAGCAGTTAATGTGACGACAGGAGTTCCTGGCGGTTCGTCCTCAGCCAGTTCCACGTCATATTGGGATGGTGAAAAGACAGGATCGTTATCGTTTACATCTTGAACTACAACTACGACGGAGGCAGTTGCTGACCGAGATGGGGACCCACCATCTGTGGCTGTTACCTGATGGATGATAAATATTTTTAAACTTAGTATATAACATGCTTTAAATCCTTGCTAAATGTTGTAGTATATGAGAGCTCTCATAGCTGTTAAGATCTGTATTTCAAGTCAAATATATAATTAATATATGGTTTATTGTAATGCCTCATTATAATATTTTAAATTTATTTGAAATTGGTAGCGCAGCAAATAATGGTGGACAAAGGCAAAACTTTTAATTTATAAGTTTTTGAAATTGAAATAAAAAAAGAACTGTTTACTTAAAACTATTTATATCACAAGATCCCTTTAGAATTCATTTTTAGAATTATTTTAATTTATAAAAATAAGATTTTTTTAATTACCCTTTTGTAGTCTTCTAAAAAAGAGTGGTTTAAGTAGTAAACAAATAACATGTATTTGTTTACTGTTATAGGTTTAGTAGTATCTCATAAACTTTAGTAGTTTAAAAGATAACCATTTAAAATAAATTAATAAAAGACAATAAGAGTATTATAAATGCATCCTCCCCATTTACTTACCATCAACTGGTACTTCGCTTGCACTTCTCTGTCCAGCTGTCCAGAGGTATACACCCACCCTGACCTAGGATCTATAGTGATTGGCAGGTCATTGTTACTATTGTACTCCTTATCGGTTAGAGAGTACGTGATTTCCGCATTCATGCCCTCATCTGCGTCGTATGCTTGTACCTGATTAAATTTTGGTATATTAATAATTCGGTATTTAAAGAAACCGTTTAAAATGTATCTATTCACCATCGTTAATCGAAATGCTTATATGCGTATAGCTCTTTGACTTGCCTATGACACATGAAGTGGTTACCTAATTCCAATTTTACCTATAACTCTACCTCTACCAGTTAGTGCTATGATTTTACATAACTGATGAATAGTCGTAAATGATACCAGCAACCATTACATTTCCAAAAAAAGTGAACTTATTAAAATTACAAAATGTTATTTAGTCTCAAAGTGCTGTTTATCAATCTTCAGGGGTCAACAACGATCAAACGGATGAACATAAGCGTAAAATTAATAAGGGGTCTGTGAGATGTAAACCTATGAGCAGATCATCAATTTAATTTACCTCAACTTCTCATTCATAGAACTATTTGAGGATAATAAGTATGTAAAAATGCATATTAGCTAAGCAGGGGGTCAACCTACCCAAGAAACATAGTTTGGGATATAAAGAAGTTTCCAAACCTCTGGTTTAGAATATTTTTAGAATTGAGCCTTGAAGTTCAAATAGTCGCTTGTCAATACCTATAAAAATAATGATACTTACAATATGACGAGTAACAAAGTTGTTGCGAAAAGAAACCACATTGTTACATTGTAAACGCCCGCATTGGGTTGTAACCATTACTGTTTAAAACGCCAATAACATTTTTATATAGGCAGACATTACATAGTTTATATCGTGATAGATGACTCTATAAATTATACTTCAGACTGTCTTCTCGAAAAGTTAAGGATCCATGTAAAGAGTGAATTAGATGCACATATTGACGAGTCTTTTGGTCTTCTGGTAAGGGATCCTGACTGCTAAAGGTAGAGGTCGTGGATTCGATTCTCACCCAGAACAAATATTGTGTGATGAACACGATCATTAGTTCTGTGTATGGATTTAAATTATCTCTAATATATTATTTAGAAATATATAAGTATCTTTATCAGCACAGTCTGGTTACAATACTACGGGCTTAGCCTAGTTTGGGATCAGTCGGCTGTGTACGAGATGTCCCAAGTTATTATTTATAAATTGACTATTAATATTTCATTAGGTTCAATTAGTTGGAATCAGAATATAATAAGGGTATTGGACTATTAAGTCATATAAGTACAACAAACATATTTGAGTGTAACGATGAGTTATGACGTTAATATGAGATTAATAATGCCAAATCTTTTAGTTTTCAGATTTCGTTTAAAGTAACGAATTCAGTTTTTTACAAACTCATGTCGTGCTTAATTTAATGAAGATCGTTAAACAATTTATTTAAAGCATAGGAAACCTCCTTATTCTCGGGTATCCGAATGATTGATAGTATAGGCAAACGAGCGACGTAGATAAACGAGGAAGGCGATCTGAATGACGATAAAAAAGTATAGCTTGCTACTTTTTATAGCTAAATAATCAAAAACATAAAAACGTACTACTAACTAAATGAGTAATAGAGACAAAAAATGTTGAGTATCGCTGAAGCGCAATTTTGACAAAGAAATAGTCTCCGTAGATAAACATTTTCCAAACTAACTTTTTTTTGAAAATTACATGCCAATATATTACATTTTTTTTTTTTTTAAAAAGACAACTCCCGCATTAGGAATAAATCCTGTGTCGCGGGGGACTTTACAAACATACATGAAACGGACACAAAGAACACCCAGACTCAGAACAACAATTTATGGATCACACAAAGTGTCGTCCCATGTGGGGTTTGAACCCACAACACTCGGCGTAGTAGGAAGCGGCGTGGCGACCGCTTAAACTACTACGCCATCCGTGCAGTCATATTGAGATATACTTTTTTTACTGACTGAAACTTTTTGCGTAAAATATGAAAGTATAAATATTACACAACTTTGAACTGCATAATGTTTAAACTAGGTTGCAAATGCTGTGGTCACAGGCGAAATTCGAAAGCAATAAGGTAATCGATATTTTAATTGTACTTACTCTAACTATGCTGTATCCTGTGGGTACATTCTCGCTGACAGATTCCTGGAATAAGCTGGTGTAGAACCTCGGAGAATTGTCGTTAACATCCTTCACGTTGACCAGTAGCTGGGTTGTATTTGAACGGGAGGGACTACCGCCATCTACAAATAGATGTAATTTAGAGAGTAGAGCAATTAGTAGAGAACAGAGACTAAAGAGAGAGTAGAGTCAATAAGTATATGTAGAGTAAATGGCATCTTACGAATATTCTAAGCTCAAATTGTTTATTCCGAAACACATGGGTTTTCATTCCGGTGAAATTGATTGACAAAATCGAATCTAAATAGAAAACACTCTCAATGATGACATTTTTAATTTAGAGACTTCGGCCAAAGACCTAAAGTCGTACAGGACGAGCCTAGTTAAGAATAAAGTAATAATATTATGAGTACGAGTATATTCCTGTATTAATATTACCTTGTGCTCTTATAACTAGTCTGTAACTCCGAACTTGCTCGTAATCCAACGGCTTGACTAATGACACATCGCCACTTAAACTGTCGATTGAAAACTGCATCTGAGTGTTTCCACCGATGATTGCGTAGCGTATCGCTGCATTCGATCCCACGTCTGCATCGGTAGCTCTGTAAAAGCACCAATGTATTAGGAACACTGACGTATAAGTTTATTACTGCATATAAACCCTTAAGTTTATTACCCACTTTACAGCTTCACACTTTCACATATAACTTTGAGAAACGTTAATTGATTTAAGTAATTGAGTTTTATACCTACTTAAGTAACGATAAGTAAAAGAGTATAAATAACTTTCAAATAGTATTTAAGACTTCAATATCATGTTAAATTGTTATAAACTCTATTCTCCATTCCTTTATTTTACATTCTTAATGGTGGTATTGTTTCTTTAAATTTGAATGGAACTGAACGGGAAATAGGTATACCCTTTATAATAAAACAAAAGGTCACTGGTAAAAATTACGAAAGGAAAACCAACAGAATTGACAGTTTTTCCTTTTTCTGAAACCGGCCAATTAAATAATATCTAGATGTTTAAGTGTAGCAGTCATAAGTGTAGCATACATAGGATAATATAAATTGGTAAGATATTTATTCACGTTTTATAACTAGTTATTAAGTTGTTTATACAATAAACGGACGCAAATAGTTTTTTACATGAAACTGATTTTACAAACTATAATTTACCAAAAGCCGAAACGATCGCGGCCGTGTAATAAAACTGTATGAAAATCTAACCATTTGTTAGTTATAATGGACGAATGATATATTTGCTTTATTGCAGTCGAACGTCGTAGTAAAATAATAAAATAAATAAATGCTAGTTTCTGAAACAATTTCAATAACGATTTATCGTTTTACAAATTGTAAGCTCCAGACGGTTCGTACATTGTACTTAGGTAAGCTAGGAAGCTTGCCAAGACAGGAATAATATTGCTCTATTGGAATCTGTTTTGAAGATACTTCGCTATAAGAAAGTTATTGGTGTGATATTATATTGAATGCATTTGCGACAACAACATGCCATCACTGAATATAAACGACTCTTATAAAAATCTATAAGCAGTAAAATTAAATAACATAGAAAATGAAATGTTCTTGCTCTTTTGCTAATTTGATTTTGCGTCGGCGCATTGTTTAGCGAAAAAGTTTGGCTATTTTTTTTTGCCCCGACTGCCTGCATGACTCCAACAAGCAACGACAAGGAAATAGGTAAATTGGGGTAAGGGAAAGGTCTTAGAAGGGCAACGGGACTAAGATTGCTTATTGTAACTAAGACTTGAAGCTGGCCGGAATCGCGTCCTGTGATTTGAGAAGCCACTAGGATGGCGACATCAAACTTCTACACGTATATAAACAAGCTAAAAGCGGTTTCACACAACGTCCGATACGAACCCGTGAAAATACGGATCTAGAAATCCCGAACTCAATTTGGATATTGCTTTCCGCACTACCTCCGATTTCTGATCCTTGATTACTTACTACCTAAAACTTTCCATATTTGGCTAATAGAGAAAAAAGTAGAAACCAAGATTAAGAAACGGGATAAAACTCAAATAGCTCACTTGATTCGTGCTATGATTGGATTATCAGCAACACTAATGTCTTCATCAACTGTGACGGTGTATGTCTTCTCGCTAAATTGAGGGTAGTTGTCGTTATCATCCAAAATGTTCACGTGGACGGTGGCCCTGAGGACAAAAGAATATCAATAGGATACAGTTTCTGCATTCTTACCGCCTTTTGATACATTAAAAAACTGACTTGTTAGAGATTTTACTACTTTACTTTACTTTTGATATATACCTTTATCTTTTTTCACCTGTAGAACATATATAACATATATTAAGTAATTTTGGTAATTACGTACGTACGAGTTTAGCGGCGTTTTGCGTATGATTTGCGTATTTCCTGCACTTGGCAGCTCAGACTTTAGACACTGAATCATACTCCTATTATATCTCTCGTAATAAACAAAATGTTCAACTAAAAGATCAGTCAAAAAATCAGTAATGTTCTACCATGATTTAGTTGTGAATATGTTGGCATTATGCTATGCAGGTTATGTTTAAGTCAATCATCTCCTTATTGGTAAATTTTGCTTACCACAAAGTGGAGTAAAAGCGGTTGCATATGAGTACCGTTTGAGTAAAATACGGTCTTTGTACATTGTAACAGTAATTTTAAGTCTACTTAGTATATACATCACTTATATAAAATACTTTTACCACATAGAATATAGCACAATTGACTTCACTGCCGGTATTGTGGTTTAAGCTAACCAAGTGCTACAGAGTTGATTATAGTAGGAAATTTGAGCAGGGATACAAAAATAGTTATGTGGAACCACCTTCTTTAGAGAAAAACCATACTCTTCGGATAATATAGGAGAGAAAGGAGATGGTAGAAAGCTGGTTTTTAATAAAATGAAATTCTTTCTTCTAGATTTCAAACACCTTTCGAGCAAATTCTACATGCAGATAAAATGCTTTTAATATTAGAACTAACAATTAATTTTATATTTACTCCAACAAATAGTCGTAGTTTTAACATTTATTTTCAATAGAATATTATATGTATTTAAATATTTTAATCACTCATCGAAAACATAATCAAATGTCGTTACAGAAAGCCGTTTTTAGATTCTACCCATAATTTGGATAGTCTCTATTTTTGTAAACCAATAGAATAAGGCTCACAAAATATTAATTAATCGATATCCTACCACGCAAATGAGTATTTATTTGCTAAAATGTGAAAAGTATATTAACATAAAACGATAATTATAAACCTAATCTAAAAATAGTTTATTTTAGTGATAGTAGAGCAAGACTGATACTTAATACAATATGTTACCTTATTTACAATATTTTTAGTAGAAAAAAAATTATAGTTTTAAAAAACTAAAAAACACGCTTTCTATAGAAAACCAAACTAAAAAAGAGAAAATAAATTTGAAAAAAAGCGTTGGTGATAGAAAGCGAGTTATTTAGTTTTTTTAAACTATTTTATTTTTTATTTTATTTTTTTAAATTAGTGTATTGTCATCGGTCCTCGATATATCTACAAAGTTTGAACGAATTCTGACCGTTTAAAGTCAGTCAAAATCACGCCCAAAGGAGTCGGTTACAAACATATGAGTACAAACATACAAGTGAAGCTAATTTATAAAGGGTGTAAAAAAATAAAGAAATGTCTACTGTAAGTCGATCGATTTTTATTTAGTCGGCCAGAAAATATTTTGATTATCTTCAACTTAGATGTACTCAAAGTTTGAAAGTGTATCAATTAAACATAACTTGGGATATTTTAAAATAGTCCAACGTGTTACAAAAGTTTACTGTTTCTATAAATAAATCTGTTATTATACTCACGTGCTACTCAGCCTGTCAGATACGGGGCTGGCCTGGTCTGTCGCCTTTACAATCACGGTGTATCTTGCCACTTTCTCCCTGTCCAGCGGGGCTCTGGTCAACAGTGCTCCACTCCTCCCGTCTATTCTGAATACATCCTGACTGTCAATCTGTTCTGTATCGATAGATTCGTTTGTGTCTTCAGGATTTAGGGTTTCTGCTATCACTGATTCTATTGAGTATTCCACCTGCAAATGTTAGCTATTTTTAGCATTTATGATACAACAATTTATCAATATTAAGTGATCAAATAAACGTGACTACTATGATAAAACACGTTTATTTTGAAAAAGTAATATTATAACAGAGAAATTGAACACGAACTTCGAAATTTTCGCTCTAACAAATCACGTTGTTCTACGAACTACTGGAGTCACGTGTTTTGGCGAGGTGCCATTTTTATAAAATAATATAGACGTTCTCAATATCCAAACCTTTTCTAAAGGGTGTAGTTGGGGTAGACATGGCGAGAGTGGCTAAAAGCCATAAAGTGTATGTTATCAACAGGCGATTAAAAATTAATATGCAGGTTTGCTATATATCGTAGAACTCTGTCATAAAATTTATTTATTATACTTGCCTCAGCGTTCTTTCCGATGTCCTGGTCCGTGGCTTTGAGTGTGAGGACTGTTGTCCCGGAACTGGCACCTTCTCTGACTGATGATTCATATTGCTGCATCTCAAAAACTGGCGAGTGATCGTTGCAGTCCAGTACATTAATCTAAGAATATAACAGGGTTCAGTAGTATATTATACGTATGATTGATGGATTTGTTCTCTTTGGTTCTATTCGACCCTCGTTTAGAAATTTTATATTAGAATACTTAGGAATTCTATTCGCTTAACTGATTAATAATTAAGATGACCTTTATAACAAACTTCAAAAAGAAGGTTCTTAATCAGTTGTTTTTTTGTATGTTTGTTACAGAATTTTGTATTTTTAAATATATTTTTTATTTTTTTATTTGGGAGTATACCCTTTGACTCCCATTTAAAGTTGGAAAAGAAATAATACAGTTGAAACTGGCAAATTAGAGAATTAAGAGTACAATCTATTATAATTCACCATGAAGACGGTGACACTTTTTAAATATTAATAACGTGCTTTGTGTTCTATAAAAATTGGCTAAGGCTATGTAAATCAAGGTCTTACCTGTAGAGTGGTGGTGCCACTCCTAGGCGGGAAGGTATCATCTTGAGCCACAACCCTGAAGTAATGTACATCAAGCCTCTCTCTATCCAGTCTTGCCTGTGTCGTCACCACGCCGGTCCTTGTGTCCACGGCAAACATACCAGCGGACCTTGAATCCAGTAGACTCGACATCGAGTATGTCACTGGACTGTTTTCTGGGTCCCTGTCAAGAAAGCACACAATTGTTAGTTTTGAGGTTGTCTATTATTTTTTATAAAGAACAGGTTTCTCTTAAAATCAGTAGATATATCTACTGCTTGGCATCATCGATTTTTAATGCCACTATTTCGTACAGATGGTATAACCTAAATATGCGTGAATGTAATTAATCCTAACACAAATTAAAAAAAAACATCTTATAAAACCTATTTCGCTATCTGGTATTTCTGTATTGTTAACATTTTTAAAGGGGTCGACCAATTAATTACAATGCGAATGTAAAACAAAATATTTATTTTTTAAATGAATTATGATTTCTTGTTTACATTTGGGACAGGTGTTACTTAACTTACTCTAATTCAAAACAAAGAAAAACAAGGTTCTCTCGGGTCTTATGACATTGTACTGGACAGAGCAGCTGTGCTTTTATCCGTCTCATTTATTTAACATGGGCAAAGTACGGGGTTACAGAAGTGCGACTCATTAGTCACGTGTCTTTAACCGCATGATTTCAGTGAGAGCTTAAATTCTAAAACTCTGTGTTATGTTATGTAGTAATGTATTATAGTATAGTAGTATATTTTAGTGTTAGTTATAGTAGTATGAGACGATATATAAAAAGGTACTTCTTTTAAGGAACTGTTTAAATTTTTACAATAGATGGTCTATTTCAATTATTTACATAAATTTGTATGAGTTGTTTAGACACTTAAATAATGTTGAGTATGTAAAAAGGCTTACTACACAGTTACAGATTATTTACATGAAAAATTAGCTTAGGATTGATGCTGCTCACTCCCGCATTTACGTTCCCATCATTGTTGTTATGCTTAAAAGTGATGGACATTTTAATGTATGTATTTCGTTTGTTTTCAATATTTGTTTATTTATTTATTGAACTTGAATTGTATCGTATATTTTTTGTGTAAGTATGTAAATGTGAGTATAGTGTAGGCTTGACTAATATTGATTAAGCTACACGATGGCTGGGGCCCATATACTGTTTGTATGGACAGGCCGACTCAAAACTATGGTCCTTTCTTCAAAGGGCCTACCCATACCCTACTCGCACAGTTTTCTTTAACTTTGTTTACGGACTAAAAAAACACCTCTGTGGTTTATTTTGGCGTTTCTTTCCAGATTGAGTCTGAGGAAATGAAGACTCCATCTAACTGTAAAGTCCGACTTGTAAAAATATCTAAAAAGATTTGCTTACAGATACATAATAAATGTCATTTAGTATTTATAAACTTTCAAGAAAAGAGCGCACCCTTTTCCTCAAAGGCCGGCACCGCGCCTGTGACTGCTGAGTTGCAGGCGTTCTTGGGCGGCGGTAATAACTTACCATCAGGTCGGGTCCTCTGCTCGTTTGCCCCCTCTATCTTTTGTGCTATAGCCTTAACGAGGCTATAGCACAGCTGATAGCTTTTTTTCTTCTCTTCCATGACTTAACCATCACTTCCATTCTTCATAATTATCGCTTTCTCAACTACTCTAATACCGTGTTATCTACCAAAAAGTGGAAAATAAATAAATAGCAATTGCATTTTGCAACTGAAAGTTCATTATCTACAGAAAATTCTTTTGTAATAAATTAATACATACACAATATGTACATAAATAAAATAAATAACATTATGAATTTACCGACTATCGGAATAAACCTGGACAAATTTAAAAGTTATAAACTGAATATGTTACTTTTTGTTACATTATTTACGGGGTTTGGTTGACGACCCTAAACTATGACCATTTACCTTTTCATGTAGCTCTTGGTGAACTTTTATGATAAAGTTAGGTAAAGACGAACTGTCTGATAATCAATTATCTTTTTATTTTTTTTGTTTCGTAGCTTTAGTATGAGGTCTTTAGGTTTTAGTGAATTGTTTTAGACATGCAATCTAAGAATATATAAGTTGACAAAAAAATTTAGAAACATATAAATTCGTACATATGTATTTTTCTAAATTTTCAATAATGATAATAGAAGAGGATCATAGAATTTTAGCAACTGAGCAAACTCTAGTTACATATGTCCCTCTTTTCTTTGGATTTTAGGCAATCCTCATAATCATAGTCTTACGTGGTAATCGAACCACATCACTCAGTGTCGCATCGAATAATATTTTATACATCATTTTTTTAAATATTTCGCTATTTTTATATTATCAATACCCAATTACCATAATAATAAAACTAGAACAGTCTAGCCAACAATCAGAGACTTCATATCTAGACAGTTTATCTATTACGGCTACTATCTTAAGTTATTGTTTTGAAACTAACTAGACTCAAAGGTACTTTAATAAGTCTGTTAAATATTTTCTAATATTAAAGGAGGCCAAGTCCAGGGCGACCTACTTGCGACTAAAAGTCGAGGTTCGAAAACCATATTAGTGAACTACCGATGAGAACTTATTAACACAAGCACTTGGCTTAGCTGAAAGGCTTAATAAGATTACCAAAACTGATGATTACCTAGTAAGTTTTCAAGATACCTTCACCTCAAAGTGTTAAGTGGACAAATAGGATCAAGTTGTAAGTTTCATATTTTATTAATGCTCTTTGTTTATTGAAATTGTTGTTACTCTAACGAATCTAAGAGCCGGGTTCAGTCTTCATAAATACATAATGTGACGGCCTCTTAATGCCTATTCATGGTGTTATCAATGACTATATCATCGAGTTAATTTGTATTAAGCTAAAGCGCACAAAGACTCAATTGCCACACGACAATAGTTCCGGAATACATAAAATAGATGAGACTATAAAAGCTCGAAGTTAATTAAAACTGATGATGACTAGGTGTCATGTTCAGGCAGTTACTAGATGTGCAGTAGGATAATAACCACGTCCTGTTTATAAGACTGGACTTAAATGGGAATTAAATGATTTAAAAGTCGTTTGTAATCGTCAGTTGCAGCTAGACGTACTCGTACGGCGGGAGAATTTGTTGAATGAAAATATATAAATAAATGTAGAGAATTGTTTGTGAACGAATGTGAAATTAAAATTCTTAATTATAGTATACATATTTAAATAAGAAGTTGTATAAATTGAAAAAATATTTACCTCAAAAAACTACGGATAAGAGTGCAGTATATATTCTCCTGGTATGGTTTGGAACTTTCCATGTGTGTACATACAGGAATGACAGTTTAACTTTTAATACCTACTAGAAATGAGTGCCTAAATGTATGACATATATATATATATATACCATCAGGCGATCTCTCACCAAGAGTACCCTGTGAACGTCCGTTTTTATTTACAGGGTTACTGTGAGTCTTAAGCCTTGGAACGGACGGCTGCTATATAGTCTGTGTAGTAAATAGACAGACTAGCCAGTCTCTAGGGTTAAGTGAAAAGAACCATAGCTTGATTTCAGGTTTCAAAGATTTCTGATAGGATAATATAACATAATCCTGGCAACTTTATAACTGGTACTAGAAGCCCTTCAGGCTTCAAAAGCTGCAGGCTTCCTAATGACTGTGGGTTTGTGTGTGGGTGTGCTAATATAACTCTACCTACAGTATCGAGGATATGCCTATGAGTATATAATTGAAATACTATGCTACAGTAAATAAAAACACCAGTTTCCTATAAGCAAAACTAGCAGTTACAGATAATCTAAAGTATAGGCTATTCAATTTGTACTAAAACAGACACAACCAAATAGTACACGCGAGTAATTCATGACGGAACTATGATATATCAAAATACTTATTAATAATTCAATAAATTAATCAACCGAATTAAATTTTTGACGCATCAGGGTAGCATCACTAATTATTGCGCATTGCTATATTGTTGCTGTAGTAATTTTAGTACTTACCGAGCTCTAACAGTAGTGACAATAGCTCCAGGAGGTTGTTCTTCAGCCACAGACGCTACGTACAACGCCTGCTCAAAGTACGGCGACTGGTTCCGTAACTCCCGCTTTACTCTTCTAGCTATATCAGTATCATTTAGCTCCTGATGGTGATACACTATCTTCAACCGATGATCCGAATCTACTATGTTCACCTTATCACAATTAAAAGTAAAAAGTATTGACACCTTCCACATTGGCTCCTGTATACAAATATCTTCACTTGCAACCAAATCTCCTTGACTCGACTCTATAACAAATCTCGGATCGCTCACATCTAAAAATTGTACTTTACACATTTTCTGCACAGTTCTAGGCAGGAACGCGGTAAGGGAATTCACGAATTGCGATTGCTTCAGACAAATCCCTTGCCATCGATCCGTAGTCGGTATTGCGAAGCTAGCGTATGTTTCAGATATCCACTGCTTCGCTTCAGCAATTTTTACATCAATCGCCATATCGAATGGAATTAAGTTGTGAGATCGTTTCCTCCTACTTCTGTTTCTCGCTACGAAGTCTTCGAACATCGCGCTCGACCACGGATAAGCCGTAGATAATACACTATACTGACTAGAGACTAATTCATCGGCTTCTAACAACCTCCAGTCTATACTCTCTTGATATATTACTTCTCTCTTATCCCTGGCGGGAACTGCGTCGTCTTCATACTGCAGAGCTGCATCGTTTTGATCGTAGACTCGGTCGAAGTCTATATCATATAAGTCAGCATGTCTTCGACTGCAATCTTCGCCAGTAACCAGCAATCGAATAGGAAGACTGTAATAGTCTATGTCTCTAATTCTATCTGAGGTTGAGTCGACGTAGAACGTAAAGAGATTTGGATAGAGGACTCCATCACATCTGAGCCTCTTGCGAAGAGTAACAAGGCCGCTAGTCCTGTTGACACGCAGTATGTGGTGCACGAAATTAGCCGTTCTGTGTACGTCAATATTGTAGGTGCGTTCAGAGCCGAGTTTATAGACAGCAGCGTCTAAGACTACGTGTCCGGAGGGTGCGGAATCCGGTACGATTATGAGGTAAGCGCGTGCGGTCACCAGCGCAAGAGCGGTGACCACCGCGTAATGCCACACCCGCACCATCTTGTGACAGGTTCACCTACAACGATGCCGCCGCGTCCACCAACCGCTGCGATTGTCCATCTAAAAAGAAAAAAAAAGATTCATAAATTTTTACTGTTAATTCTAACTCTAGAACTAGGTATTATTATATGTATGTATATTATTCATTAGTTGTAATGATTACTTAAAAATATTTAATGTGTCACTAGTTTATGAACACGCCTTTATTAGTTTACTTGTAAGTAACTAACTATAATTATTGACAAATTGATTTCGGAAGTCAATTTTAAACTACTTCTAATTATCGTATCAAAATATAACTTTGTACATATGTAGATTGGATAACGATTTTATAATTTGCCATTTTGGAACTGATTCAGCCGAATAGACTCAGGTGCTTGAATTCTTCAGTCAGTCAACCCTTCGAGTTTGGACTCTTAAGATTCATTCTGAAGAGTCCAACAGATTGGTTTTACATGACGTAGATAATTATAATGAAAAACATTTATTCAAACACCTTCAGCATACAGGACAGTAGATGTTTATCGGGCTTAGTTTTATGTCAGGATTAAGAACCAAATAAAAGGTTCGTACCATCAGTTTTAGTTTAAAAAAATACAAGGAAACTTGAGGTAAATAGTTTGGAAACAGCACAAGTGGAACGCATTATGTTTTATTCCAAGCATATTGAAAGAAAATAGCCTACCTGCGAATCAAAGCCGTTGACTTTGGGTCGAACTACCTATATTGTGGATCAAGAGATTTCATTTATATAAACAGTGTTGAACAAATAGAACTGTACTGTACTGCTGTCTACATGGCGCAATGATTTTGGGTTCAAAACACTCATGGGATAAAATTTGTAATAAATAAAACTTGAGCTGTATTGTGCGGGTTTTCTTTCTGCCCAATTCCGGGAGTTATATTTGTTGAAAAGTATCGACTTATATTCGATAGATAGCGTTCGGCTTATAATCCCATCTAACAGGTGTATAAAACTGCTATTTTTTTATTTAACAAAAATAGCACACCTTAATAATTATTTAATACTTTGGTATAGCTTAATAAATAACCCTAAACAAAAGGTTTAAAAACAACATTACTTGGTGCTTGGTAGGTATCGTTCGGGTGTTTCCGTGCGCATCGCGCAGAGGTAACGGTTACGTTCAAAAGATAAATGGCATCAATTAATGGGGGTGGTTTCTACTGCCAATATCCGCGTTTTCCAATTTTCCACAAGGGGGAAGATCATTTTACACCTGGGTTCCAATGTTTCTTTTGTGTAATATTGACGATGTTTAATGAATACGAGGGGTAGTTGCACGCAACATGATTTATTTTATCTGTTGTTTGCAACCTGTATTTTGTAAAATATCTTGCTGGTGAATTTACATAACTCCCATATAAGGACTAATGTGGTCCACATTAGTCCTTGTAAAACACATAGAATGTTCGTACGCATTTTAGTTTAATGAACTCACTGAGTCACTGTTATATAAATAGGCCGTCTACTAATCTTAATAGTTCTACTTTTAAGATTTATATTATCAGTTAGATCTTATGATGACTTTTTACTACTTCTTCTGTTTTTATTTAATACTAGCTGCCTGCTTATGCTATGCCGATATCAAGCTGACATAGTCCCTCAGTATCACTTATTGTGTATCGGACTTGGCACCGACTTCAAACAGACTAGAAGGTATCTATTGCTGTTATAATGTTACCTGTGATATTCAGAGACGCACTTATTTTAGTATTTTCAATTACATTTGTAATATTTTTTTAATTTTTAATGCTCTTTGTTAGAATTGCTTGAAGTAGGTTCAGCTTTTTCTAATAATAATTTATACTATGTAAAGATTTACAGTAAAAGACGTCTTTAAAAATATGTTCAGCATATGTATAAATGGATTACTCATTGCGATGTGATTTTCAGCTTAAAAAAACACCTAGAATTGAAAGGTGGGGCAGACATCATGCGGGGCGGTACGACTGAGCGGCGCGACAGTTATTTTAGCTAGTAAATTACAACTTCTAAATGGTGAGTCGCCATCCTATTCTGCCCACTGTCTACCCTCACCACACGCTTTGGCATCCATGCAAATTTATTTCAATCAACACAATACGCCTTTACGTTTTAAAGACTTAGTGTGAATCATTTGCAAGTTATGATAATACTGTTGTAATACAAAGATTATGAAGACGATCATGCTTAACAAATCCCCTTCAACTAATAAGTGCTTTGGAATATTTTAAACTGGTAAAAATTATCTACATATCTAATAAGAAAACAAGTTATAAACCCACCCAGAGTAATTTACCTGAAAGCTTGTTGTTTGAAGTGCATACGCTATAGAGAAATAAAATAAAAAAAGTTATTTTCTTTGACTGGAATATCTCTTGTGGAGGAATGAGCCATTGAGATGTAGTTAGAGCGAAACGTTAAGACCCTTGCTATTGGAATGGATGACTAGGGTGACATACATAGGTTTGCTAAGTAAAGGGAAGTTATAAAGGTATTTATGTCATTAATATGTAAGTACAGATTGAAATTCCTATGAACCAAGTTTTTAAACGACTGCGTCAGAAGAATGTATGTTTTTCGAGTGTATTTATGTATCTTAATATTTATAATTCTTTAGTACGTGTGCCTGTAACTAGATCCTAAACGACTGGACCGATTTGGATGAAATTTTGTGTGTCAATATATATCAATGGGTTCCTGAATGGTTTAAAAACACAATCGGACCCGGTAGGTAAGTGAGTAACCAAATTTTTTAACGATATTTAAACAGAGAGTTACGTATGTAACCTGTGTGGTGACGGATTAAGAATACGCACCATCCCTATTCATCCCGTGGGTGTCGTAAGAGCCGACTAAGGGAGTAAACTAAAGCAAAACAACATCACTGCAAAGAGAAGGAAAACTTGAAACAAACCCTTTTTTTTTTTTTTTTTTTTTTTTTTTTTTTTTTTTTTTTTTTTAACCTGTGGAAATCCCCGTCACCCCTCCGGGGTTTGCGGCGGGGTGGTGTGTCGGACTCGGACCGACTAAAACCACACGGTGTGCCACTCTGCGCCTGTAACAGGAGGGATCCGGGAACAGCTGTTGTTAAGACATCCGGACCCCTCCTAGCGCCAGCCCGCTCCTGGTGCGGGCTCCGTCTCAGTGTTTTTTTTTTTTTTTATTGGGACTAATCCCACCCACACGCCCACCACTGTAACTCCTGTACACCAGGATCCACAGCAGTGACCCACGAACACACCGAGTTATGACACTCGGGAAGTCCCAGGAAGAAATTAAACTGTCTTGGAACCCGCAACGAAATTAATCAGAAGAAAATTGGAGGAGTTGGAAATACAGTAAATCCACTTCCCTCCTTAGCAAAGCGGGAGACAAAATGAAGTAAAACAGGCATACACCCTTTTAAACAGGGAAGCACCACGGCCACAAAATATTACGGGTCCTACATGAGCTATATTTGATTTCTATAATATGTATGGCAGAATCGCCTAAACGCACGGAAATTCACCCTAGTTGACACAAGATCCCCATAGTATACCGCCCCAGATGTCACCTGCAAGCTATTCAGCATTATATTACGTTCATTATACCAAAGACTACATTCCCAGAGGATATGATGAGCAGACTGTTCATAATGAGAGTTAGGTGTTGAGCATTGACACAATGGTGACTCGACTAATTTAAATGAATACAACTTGCTCTTAAAGTTACCATGACCCGTAAGAAATTGAGCGACACAGTGATCCACCTCAAGCCATGTCCTCGACAACCGTTCGCGAACAGATGGAAAAAATTGGTAAAGATGGCGCCCCTTGGATGATTCGTCCCAGCGTTGCTGCCATTCGTCTATGAGGTCATTATAGACATCGGACTGCTGTTGAAGCAATCTTGTAATTTTACCGCGATCCCGCGCGCCCAAGAAATCGCATTCCATGTTTTGTCTTGAATAGTACATGGCTGCACGTCTCTGCACCTCGAGATCGACCGGAAGGACACCTGCCAACACCGGCAAAGCCTCAGTGCTAACCGTCCTATATGCCTTGCACAAAAATATCAGTGCCAGTCGTTGGCCTTGTAACAGTTTGCGACGGACAGCGCCTACGGTCGCCCTATCGGCCCATACAGGTGCACCATAGCACATAGAACCTAAATAAGTAGCTCCGTATATGATCTTTAATGTATTAAATGATAGACCCCATGTCGCAGTTGATATCCTTGTCAATGCACAGAAACTCTTTTTAGACTTTTCATTAACTATTTTAATATGTTCGATAAATGAAAAGTTTCTTTCTAAAACTAATCCTAGATAACACACTGTGGTTTTATTTTTTACAGTAACATTGTCAAATCTAATGCTCGGCGGTGATTTGAGGTTACCTTTTAAAAGTAACTGGAAGGTTTTGTTGGGTGCAAAAGTTAAGCGATTACGTTCACCCCATTGAGATATCAAGTTCAAACATCTATTGGCTAATCTCTCAAGCCCCGCCCTAGTATCAGATTCCACCAGTAATAAGCCGTCATCAGCATACGCGTTCAGAGTACATCCGGATGGTATTGGTATCGTAAGAAAATCGTCGAAGCCGATATTCCACAAGTATGGACCTAGCACCGATCCCTGAGGACATCCCATTGTAAGCGCCTTCGACACAGAATGATGACCAAGTCTTAGTTTAGTTGTACCTTGTGAAAAGTACGAAGAGATAAGGGAATAAATATTTTTAAAACACCCCCGTGATTTTAATTTCAGCAACAGCATGGGCCACCATGCGTTGTCGAAGGCGCCAGATATATCTAAGAAAATAGCCAGCACGTATTGAAATTTTGACTCTGTGACAAACTTTCTAACCGATATAACAGCGTCAGTTGTCGATTTACCCAACGTAAATCCAAATTGTCTATCATGAAATTTGACTCCACCTGGCAGAAGCCGGGGCACTACAAGACGTTCTAAAAGCTTTCCTAACGATGGTAACAATGTGATTGGTCGGTAGGATTT